TGCGACGCGGCTCGCTTGGCCCCGTCGACCTAAGGGGTGCATGGACGCGACCCCTGAAAAATCTGCGGTGTCTTGGCTCGTGTCCAGGGGCTCGCGCGCATCGATCCCCTGTTTTTCCACCGGCCAGCGTGCAGACGAGACGACTTTTCCAAATTGCGCTCGACGGACACTTATTTATGGAATAAATTAGCGCCGCCAGCAGACGAACCGGTGTTGCTATAATCACACACGCTGCACATCGTTGAGGGGCTCGTAAATTTGCACGGGAGGTGCCTTTTCGCACACACACTTGCCGGATTGATGGGGTTAATCAGTTTTAGCGCCCGCCTGCGCCGCGGGGCCCTTTTATTATGGCCTGCTGACAAGGCAGTAAATTTCCTAGCGGTTCATGAATTCGAATTATGCGTATATGCCTGCGAGCGAATAATGGCGAGTTTGCGAACCACACGTGGTTTTCTTGTGTGTTTGGATGTTGATCAGGTCGTCAAGGAAAAATAAGTTTGCTATAAGCTATAATTATTTGTAAGCAATATTTTATAATAAAATATTATAATAGCTAATATAAAATTGATTTTAAATATATTTATTTTCCTTTAATTAATTAATTTAAATTTTCAAACGAATTTTAACAATAACGCAATGATTTAAATTTAAAAGTTGAGAGAGAAAATAATGAACAAATGAGTAAATCATAATTTGTTTTATTAGCCGACATTAATTTAATAATTAATAATACTCATCCTGAGCAACGCGATATGAATCTAATAAATTATGATAGTACTTCACAACTATAGTCGGAACTGAAGGTTTTCTAAATCAAATAATGCTCACTTATACATTCAACTTCTTATAAAACTTAATGTGCACTGAAACTGGGTCACCATCTTTGCGTTCCCTGCCAATTAAGAAGGAAAACCTGGAAGTGCACTTGACTTTTTTCCTCTCTCTTTCCCATTTTTCGCGCAACCACCATCATCATCTTGACTTTTTTTCATCATCGTTGCCTCTCGCGCCATCCTCTCATTCAATTTCGCCCAAGCGGAGATAAGGAAGCAGAAAAGAAAATCAGCAGTTGGAGGAAATAATTTTTAACGTCCCCCTGTCCGACGCTATCTGCTCGCAGCTTTTTCATCAGACGCGCGACTCCCTTTAATAAAAAGCCCGATAATCAATGGAGAGGTGCTTGGCAAAATTGTATTTATAGCTGCAGAAATCCGCTGCTGTAAGAATAAATTCTGCTTCTCTGGCCGTTCATTGATTCTCTCGCCGGTTGAGCCTCTGGGTCTTTCAGCCGTGCTTGATGATCATTGAAAATAACCCCTGAAAAGCAGCCGCCCCGTTTCTCTCGGCGCCGTTCAATAATGAAGCTACAGTTGTTTTTCCTGGCTGCAACAACACCAACTCGCACATGTACATACATCCAAGCCCGCTCTCGACGAAGGCCGAATCAATGAAAGCGCCAGACCCTATGTACTCAGCGGCAGCACCTATTGTTTTGGCAGCCAATCCATGAACACTGCTCGAAATTTGATTCAATTGAACGTAATTTATTTATATTGCCTCCTATAATTTAAATTGAGAAATTTTAATGACATCAATTTAGAATGCATTTATGGTTTTATATTGTTTATTTACAAGGTTAGATTATTTTTTGAAATTGTTACTTTTAGTGTTTTTTATTTTATTTTTATTTTTGTATGAAATTTTTTTATTCCAAATTCAAAGCACTGTTTGTGCAATTAACATTATTATCATCATAAATGCTCATTATTTTGTCCTGCGTTTGCAAACACGTAAGCCCAGGCTTGCATTGCACGTGACAGCAAATTAAATAATCAAATAGCGATCGGACGCACACAATGTTTGATCGCTCAGTGTAAACATGTCGTGTGGAGAGAACAAAAGAATGGGTTTAATCGCGGTATGTCAGCAGATACGGTCCATTATGAACAGCAATTAATGGAGCATTCATCAAATAGTAATTAAACAAACTCGTCTGCCGAATGTGAATTAATGGTTTTTAATTATGCAGCAGAGCGAATGCAAGATCGAGTCTTTTCCTCTCAAAAGCGAAAACTATAAAATTTCCTGGTGCTGAATTTTGGACGCGGCAGTTTAACCTTAATAAAGATCTTCGTCCCGTCTTGCTTGCTCTAATTGTGTACATAATTTCGCTTTGTTTGCGCGCACAAAGTTGCGTCTCATCCTTAATTGCGAAAGGAAATGCGCTGCTTCCTAAGAGAATTGTGCCGCCCCCTCGCTTGCTTCCTCTGCCGGCACTCATTTCGCTAACGCAAATTTGTTCTTCTTTCATCAGAGTTAGTTGCAGCTTTCTGAGCTCGCACGGTGTTACACACAAGCGCCGGAGGCGCAAAAATTGCGCAAAACGGTGCTGGTTTTCGCAATCTCATAAAATCCCTAAAGCATTTTTAACCTCAGATCAATAGTAAGGTTTTTGCAAAGATGATAATAAAATTATTAAAAAGATGAGATATAATTAATTTTACTACAAAAAATTATTATTTTTACTATTAGCATTAAAAATTGTCTAGGTAATCTTGAGCATTTTGAGAAAACTTAATTAAATATTCTGAAAGCAACTATTTTATTTTTAAATTGACTGTAGATAAAAAATTTTATTTTTGCGAATTGACTATGGTATTAATTACCAAATACGAATAAATGAAAGATACTAGAGGGAAAAAATCTCCAAGTTATAGTGATAGTTTAAAAACTTATAACTAATAGCAGATGATGCCAATTACAATTGAAATATTGGGTTCTTTCATTTTTGAAAATTTCTTATTCAATGATAGAAAATGCTTTGGCATTTTCCTGTCATATAGCCTCTTATTCTATCTTTTTTTTATTTTAAAAGTAGATAATTTTGTGTCAATATTGTTTACACATGTCGCATTCAATTTTGTTCATTTTTTTTAATCAATATGGTACCACTAGAAGCAAGAATTTTGCTGAAACTTGTTAAATCAAAAAGATCTTATTCGCCGTTGTTAAAAACACATTTTTCATAGAGGAAAAAGCTGAGTTTTTATCTCAATGAGATGATCTCATCAATCTCATGAGCGACTCCTTCGGTTCACACTTTTATCTCAAAACAATTTTTTTTGGCATTTTATAATATAAAATGCCAAAAAAATTGTTTATTATATTATCCAATATTTTTTCTTATCATAAAATAAGCACTTTTTTATTCACAAATTAACGATAATCAATGTAAATTTATCAATAACCCGAAAAAAGAACGTTTTATGGTTTTTGATAACCAATTTCTGAAGATATTGCAAAATTGCTTCAAAAAATTGATCTCATTTCTCGCTTTAAAGTATTTCCTTAAAATACTGCTCACAAAATGGGAACGTATTTTTTTATCTTTTGCTAAATTTGCGGAGGTGCACATGGTGACGGGTATTTGTTTCTTTCTTTTCCCATTTCTTCTCCTAACCATAAGCCAGCCACTCCACTTCCTCGGCAATTTCCGAGAAATATTTACCGTTTTTTCCGCACCGCGACTGTTGCTCTGCTCCGCCGTCGCCGCAACAAATGTACACTTTAAAGCCGCTGCTCGCTTTTTGCACCGGCGTCACGCATTCGCCAAGTGCTTTGAAATATTCACAAAATTCCCCGTGCACGTCAACTTTGCTTCGCCTCGAGAGCTCGCAATTTCACAACGCATGACTTGTAGCAGCGACAAAGTTCAGCCATATTTTATAACCGGCTTTTGCTGCGGCGACTTTTAAACTTAAGTATATTATGTATAGCAGCCGTTTCGAGTCTAGAAACACTGGAACACTTTCCCCGACGTTGTTATTCGACAACTTTTAAACCTATTTACGCGGAAATGCAGCTTTCAAAAAAACTCATGCATTATGAATCGCACAAAAATGACGTACTTTGAACTCTGAATCGTCAATGGAGAGAGGGATGGGTTGAAAAGTTGTGAAGTTTTAGTCTGCCAGAAGTCTCGTTTGCTCAAGGTAGATTCGTTGACAACTTTGAAAAAGATAATGTAATTTACATTTTCTTTTTATTTATATAGATAGCAAAACTGACCATAAAAGGCTGCTTAAAAATAGTGTAATTTAAAGAAAAGTCAAGACGCTACATCATAGAACTATAAAATAGAAAATAAAAACAAACATTAAAACTGAATGTGAGGCTCAGTACGGCGGGTCTTTTTGATCTAGGAAATTTTAGGAAAATTCTTGCTAGTGTTGATGTCGTTTTGTCCAACAATTCCTTTCTTTTTAAATAATTGGTTTTCAACAGTTAAATATAAACAATGTTTTTGTAACAATTTGCACAAATAAACAAAAATAATAAGATATTATTTTAAATAAATGGGCTCTGAAGATTATCTAAGTTTGCTGCTCGTCGGATCTCAAATCTTTAATTTTTCCTCATTTTGTTTTCTTCAAAACAATCTTGAACTGTATTTAATATTCATTCAGCAGCTGCAAGCCCCAAAGTGACGAATTTATGTCTCTCGCAATCAGTGGAGCTCATGGGCAAACAGAGTGTGTGCGTGGGTCCCGGTTATCCCTGCAGAGCAGATAGCCGCATAAACATCTTATTTCATTATCACAAGTGGTGCGCGCACTCGACCGCTGACTGACTGCCGAGACTGCTCGGGGATAATTAGAGGGCCGAGCTCTGCCGAGAGAGAAAGTGTACCTCTCTCTGTTTCAATTACACCAGAGTGCTGCGTGCGTCCTTTTAAAGGCCCTCTCCTTATAATTTGTATAAATGTTGCTAGGGCCTTTGAGGCGGCGGCGGCGGCCGGGCGCTGAAACCACTTCAATTCGATGAAGCCCTCATGTTTTCGGCCACTCCCAATTAACATTCGAGACCCTTTGTTTCCCGAAACCTCAAACATCCCAAACTGCCGAGTTCGTATTTCGCTTGACATTTCGAAGCTGAAAATTCTCTGACGAAATGGCTATTTTTTCCCTTCTTAACGAGATTCTGGTGATTTGTTGCAGGTGTCGTGGATCAGGCACAGAGACATTCACATTCTGACCGTGGCCGGCTACACGTACACGAGCGACCAACGCTTCCAGGCCATCCATCACCGTGAGAACGACGAGTGGACACTGCAGATCAAGTGGGCCCAGAAGAGGGATGCTGGTGACTACGAGTGTCAAATCAGCACACAGCCCCACCGTAGCTATTTCGTCACTCTCAACGTCGTCGGTGAGTGCAATATTGTTTTTGCAGTTAGTTACATTTCATTGTATTTTTCTAATTGATTCCTTTTTTTTAAAAATTACGTTCAGAAACTTTTTCTAGAACAATTATTGTTAAAAATAATATTATAAGAGGCCTAAAGTTTTAAATTAAATTCTCAAAAATTAGTAGCAAAAGATATTAAGTCTTTTTGAAATAACAAATTATGTAAAATATAATTAAATTAAATATTTAAATTTTATATTTTCTATTTGAAGTGTGTTCCATGGAAATTTTAAATTAAATTTGATTTTTTTCCTTTCGTATAATTATTTCAAATAAAGTAAGAGCACTTCCTCACTTTTGAGGGTGTCGGATTTCAAAGGAAAGCGCACAGTGAGTGAAATTTGTAATTTGATGCAGTGTTGAGGGCCAACGAGATGAGCTTGTGTCAGGCGCCTGTTGAATTTTTAACAAACCTCTGTCTAAACTCTGCACTTTTTCTTTGAACTTCAAGAGTGGTGCAAAAATCAACCTGCTTGTGCAGCGAGCGAGTGAAGCCTGGAATTTTAATAATTTGCACATCGCTAGGTCTGCAGCTTTTTTACAGCACCGCTTACAACTTCTTTGATGCATAATTTTTCCCACAAACTTTTTTCCAGCTCGAAAGAAAACAAATATTTTTCAAAGCTGCTTGTATTTTTCCTGCTCGGCCCAACCCCTTTTTGTTAGGAACACGTAGGGAGCAGCAAAAAGACCTAAATGGATCACCGACACTTAACCCCTTCCTGATCAAAAGCGATTCAGCAAGAAATTAAAGTGCCGGATAATTATTTTGGAAGGGCTCGTTTCGCCAGATCGTCTCGCCTGCCCCAGCCTTGCCGGCCAATCCGATAGGGCGGAAAACTCATTTACACGACACGACCCTCGCAGCAGAGAGAGAGAGAGCATAATGCACGTCAGATGCATGATTCGCCCACCCCCTCACGTTCCTCGCCCTCGGCTGGAGCCTGGAGCCAGAGATGTGGCGGCTCAGTCTCTTAAACAGACCAGGATAATGGCCCTACATGGATAATTAACAAAGTCGAGCGGTTACAAATTTAAGCTGCTTATCTCGGCCTCTCCGTACCATTAATCGCCTTCGCCAAATGAACAGCAGATTAACCCACATTTAAACAAAGCATCTCCATGATAATTGAGAATAGAGAAATATGTTAACAAAAATATTTTGTAATTTAAAATTTACAAAATAAACTAAAATTTACTATTAAAGACATTTTAATTATTTAATAAAACAAAAATTTAATTTTTTAATTTAATGACATTAAAATAAATTTATTTGTTTTAAGTAAATACGATCAAATTAAAATTTCATAAATAAAATTTTGAAACCAACAAAACTGAAATATATTATCATAAAATTATTCATTAAATTATAACAACATGTGGGTTTTTAATATGTATTATTAATTCCACCAAGAATATTTTCCAGATAGTACAATTGTTTTAGCTCAATATTCTGAAAATTATTGAAGAACTTATTATGAGGTTTTAAGTAGCGATTATAATTAAAGCAATATATACTCATTTCAAGATTCAAGAGCTTTTGTTATTCACTAAGAGATTTTTTTCATTATTTAAGATAATCACAATAATGATCACATATAAATTATCCGCTGTGACATGTCTCAGTTTACCTGATTGCAAAATTTCACCATACCAATAGCACATCCATTAAGGAAATGCATGCGAACTTTCCTCTTCAATTCGTCCGTTTTACTCCCTCGCAAACTCTCAAAATCGGGACTTGGAAAACTCCATTCGCTGTGTAGCTGCACACATAAATTATAAACTCCTCTCGCGAGTGATAAAGTGAATGGCGGAGAGGACTTACATTTGAGCTCTCTGCTTTATTGTTTAGCTGGTGCGCGAAACGATTATTGAATTACGAGCGGCAGAGGCTGTGATATATCTGGTAATTGATTACAATGTGCAGCGAGAGCAGGGGATGCGCGAAACTCCTCCTCTGTGTGTTCCTTGAAGTTTGCGTTTTAAACTATTCTCATTTAAGTCATGTCAGTGTCAATGTGCATCCAACAAAGTTTGTCTTCTTCTTCTTCTCCTCCTCCGCGAGTAGATTTGCATGTTCTCAACTTTGCTGCTGGTAATCGCTCTCGATTTTGCCGCCGCGTCGCTCCCTATAAGTAATCTCTCTCTCTCTCTCTCTATGTGTTGCAAAACAATTATTGTTCGAGTAACAAAGGCTTTGTGTGGAGCGTAATTAATAAACAAAAAGTCATCGCCCCGCGTCGCTGGCTGAACACGCGCCGCCTTTTTGTGTGTGTGTGTCGTGTTTGACAAAACACACCGTCACGTGCGCTGTCTGTTGCAGATGGATTTTACAAAGACTCGGAGCACCAACACCAGCAGCTTAATCCGCCCCACGCCTACAAACGACCCTCGTTCTATGACGACCTGAACTTAATGTATCGCGATCAAGGTCACTCTCTGGACTTTCACAGATTGCTCTAGTTTTGCTAAACTTGCTCTGAATGGGTTTGCCCTAACAGCATTCGCTTTACCCTCGCCATCTTGCCGTTTATGGTCATTTCACTAATCCTCTGACATACTAACGCATTGACAAATTGAGCCAAGTTTTAAGGGTCTCTTAAGTCTTTGGTCACCCGTTATGGATTTGAAAGTAATTTGTATGCATTAATTCAAAATCAAAAAGTACGATCAAAAAATAAATTTCTAAATTTTAAAAGTAATAATTCCTTACAGTAACTTCAAAGATACAGCTGAGACATAAATAAAAATTTGAATAAAAAAAATTATTACAATAATAATTTTACCGTTATATCTTTTTATATTTTTTCACATTTTTAATATGTCTTATTTAATTTAATTTAATTTAATTAACGTTCATTATATTTTCATTTTTAATTGTTCATTTTATAAATTAAGTCACAAAATGCTTTTAATGCATCTTACTACATAAATGTTTAAAAATTAATTGTCACTGTTCACTTCAAATCTGATGGATCATCAGATTATTTTAAAAATAAAATTAAAATTGTAATATACCAGTAGGTCAAATTGATGCAATATAATATAAAATACTATTCTATAATTAAAATGATCACGACATGACCAGAAAGAATAGACAGGCGATTGAAAGTTAGAGAACCCAACCGACGACCCACAGTCCCTCTTCTAACTGCCAAAGGATGCGGACATTGGGTCAAAGAAAAAAGTTATAGGTCCTCTTTTCCACATCTGTAGCTACTTTTCTGGGTTAGGGTTGTGCGGGTTTGCATTTGTATGTATGTTCGAGAGAGCAGCAAAAAGAGAAAGAGCAGGAAAGAATAAGTTTTATTTCAGGCGGAAAATTTTCATCTCGAATCAAAGTCTTCTCTTGCCCTTTGTGTGCGAGTGTGTTTTGCATGAATATGTGGGGCACTGGGCCCGTACATCTCTCTCGTTGTATAAAATTCCGCAACTTTTTTCCAATCCGCCTGCTCTGCCGCCGCCGCCGCTTCGCTTCTTTATGATGAACTCCCTTGCAAAATAAATATGTGCTGCCTTTGGCTGGAATTCTGTGTCATTACGCGAACAGCAGCGGCACTCGCGCGCGCACTTTACTTTTACGACAAGAGGAAGCAGCGTTTTAAGAACTACTCGAAAATGCGAGGCATTTTGCTTTTCCACGACTCGCCCGCCTTCCCTTTGATCGCCCTGCGAGAATTTCTCTCTTCTCGGCTTGTTAGCCGCGCCGTTACGACACTCGGCAAACTGTGATTTTTATGTTCCCTGCCAGGTTTTGAGATTGTATGAATTTTGAAATTTTAATGCACACATTTGAATTCAACGCTTTTTGGAAATGAAATTACTAATTCTTTGAATGTCTGCAGAATAAGGTGTATATTTTAATGCATTCCCTTTTATGTTCCAGTGCCCACTGCGCACATTTTAGGGGCGCCCGACTTGCACGTGGACAAAGGCAGCACAATCAACCTCACTTGCATCATCAAATACAGCCCTGAACCACCTGCTTACATATTTTGGTATCACCACGATGAGGTAAGGAAGAATTTTTTTTTCATTTTTATTAAAAGAGATTCAAAAAATTATTAATTTATAAATTGAGATTTTAATTTTTGGTTATAAAAGACATTATATTGATTTTCTTAATTGTCAAAAGGAAAATAATGTTTTAAGCCGAGATAATACCATTGCAATACTTTTTCATACACAATTAAATCTAGATAAATTCACAATTTTCTAAACCAAACAATTGAAATTGTTGATAATAGTGGTGGATGAATCAGTTTGAAATTAATTTAAAAATATAAAATTCTTTTCAATGTTCACTCTCAAATTTTAAAGAAATTTTTTCCAATGTCTCATTCTCTCTGTTTTCACATACCCTGCCCCAAAATTAAAATATCAATGTCAGATTTACACCACTTGGTGGTTGCAGGACTCTATTTTACGCCGATACTTGTTTTCTTTAATAAATTTATTTTCAATAACAATCAACCATGAATATAATACTAAAAAAATATCTTCATTGCACAAATCTGGATAAAAATAGATCAGATTTTTCAATCCATTAAGTGCACATCGCATCAACTCTTGCATAAAATAAGTATATTGCCGGACTGGAGAGAGAAAAAGAGCAGCGAGCGCAAAATTGTGCTTTTGCCGGCAATCGCTGGCTGCCGGGAACAAAGCTTTGAAGATCTCGTATGTAATATTGCGCCGTCGCCACTCTATCTGCCTTATCTGTCGGCGGCGGTCTCTTTCGCAATATATGAAGTGCACAAAGGCGCATCGCAAACAATATTAAACGCGGCTGCTACAATTATGTAAAGGGGCGGCGCGGCGCCGAGCGAGCTGCGCTTTTTGCGTGCTGCGCGTGTGTGCATTTTGCGGCAAAGTGCCACTTTACGAGCGAAGTGCAGTCAGCTCGCTACATGTATGTTCTGCAATAAGAGGAGCTCACGTCGTGCAGACAAACGCTGACCCAGTTGTCGCCGATCCGTCCGAGAGAGATGACGAGATGATAGCAAGGCTCATGCAAGGCTAATGTCCCGACAACATCCAATTTGGGCTGGACGATAAGAGCCAAGAGCAGATCAGCTGCACTTACTTAGGCCTGCCGCTGCAACACGAGGCTCATCCTCTTGATGCCACGACGAGTCCTTGTCAGTAGTCGTTTGCATCCGAGATTGTCACACTTTCTTAGCTGAAGAGAAATTTTATCCTAAAATGCAAGAGGATTAACTTGATTTAATGAATTCGCTCTAAAGTAATGCTAATGTTATAGACGCAAATAGATTCATAATTCAGAAAATGGGGACGCTATTGGATTTCTAGCCGGTTAATGGAATAATTAAGGTTCGCTCGGTTTAATTCTTTTTTTTTCAGGATTTTAATTTTATGACCATTGCTTTTTGTGATTATTTCCGTTCTCCCTTTTTTTCGGGTGGTTATTTTTTAAACTGTTGCGGGACATTTGTATCAGTATAAAAATCAGTTTTATAGTTTCTTAATTACATTGTGATTTGTTTTGTAATAAAAAATACAAATGGTCATTTATTTTGGGATTATAAACGATATTTGTAAACCAGGACAAGAAATCCTTATTTTCCTTTCACTTTTGTTGAACATTTTTCGTATTATATTTAGCAGAAGGCAAAACTATGTAATGGCAATATTAGATTTTTTCCTCCAAATAACTGTTTTACAAGTAAATTTTTAAATTAACATATTTCTTTTTTAGTTTTGCAGCATTGTTAGGGAAGAAAGAAAAAAACAACAAATTATATTATTATAATTCAAAAAATCTCTTTTGAAAAGAAAATAATAATAAAAAAAAACGTAAAAATTGACTTTAAAAGATTTAAAGAACACAGTTATTTTTATCCATTTCTCATGGACACGACGCCGTGAATAAAATTTATCTTCCACGTTCAAAGAGACTTCAGAAATTCATAAGCTGATCTCTCCAGAAGAAAACTCTTAGAAGTTTGTTGTAAAACTTTAGAAGCGAAGCCCGTGAAATGAAAATAAATCCGTCTTGCAATTAGCCCTGCAGGCACACTAAGCATTATTTTAGTGTCGGAACCTTACTGGAAATTGACTGGCAAATTGAAATTCTGGCCGGCAACACCAATCTCGTCTTTGCAGAGCTGCCGAGACGCTCGCGCCAGTCCAATTTTGGAGATTAAAATGTTTGTTCGCGTCGCGCAAAGACGTTAATTTAATTGCCGTTGAATTATATTTAATTGGGGGAGGCGGATGCAAGACTTGAGCGAGTGGAAAGGCAAATTGCCTGCGCGCACGGATGAGACTCCGCCGCCGCCGCCGCCAGAGCTGCATGGTAATTGTTATTGTTTCGGCGAACAGCCTCGTCGTTGTGTTTAATTGAACCTCTTAGCGCCTCGTCGTTATTATTCCATTGTAAATATTTGCCTCGCCTTCCTTCCAGCTCACCCCGTTTGTTCGACGCGCGACCGATTTTGTTTCTCTTTTTTGTGTGTCGCACGCCCCGTCGCGTTTGAATGACGAAGCAATTAATTTGCATCACGTCGTCTTTTCAGGCTCCGATCGAGCGCGGCTTCATTTCCATTTTCCGCATGCGAGCCTCTGCCGGCTAATTTTCTGCCCCGTGGCTTTTTCTTTCTTGATGCGATCGACAAGACCGGGCGACGCTTGTCGCAAAAAAATCTGCTTTGTCAACCAGCGTGCCTAATTTCCTTCCGATGTAAGTGGAGTTGGGTTAAGAGGGAAAAAATCCTCTTTGTGAAGTGCCTGTGTCACTTAATTAATTTAAATAAGAAGATGCCGATATATACCAGCGATTAATTTTCCAGCAAATTTACCTCATTAAATATTTTAATTTTAGTGAAATTAGTAATATTATTAAAAAATTATTAAATTATATTCTTTTGTATCATTGATGATCCATCAAGCGTTTAAGTTTATATCTGGTTAGGTCGATTGTAATACCCACATCTTGGAGCTCAAATTTTTGACAGACTTTTGAGGGGAGACAATTATAGTTTTTTCTTTTGTTTAAAATCTTTCAAATATTATACAAACTCTTAAAATTCTTTGTATACAAGTAATCAGCAAAAATGTTAAATATCACATATGTTAAAGGAAATTTCTTTTCGTTTTGTAATAACTTTTAATTCACTCTATTTAATTTTTTACATCAATTAAGTATATTGTTTTATCGATTAAGAAATAATTGCTAAAAAAAATAATTGTTTCTTTGTTGGAGAAGACTGCGACTGCACCACTAAAAGCAAAATTTTTGTGCAAATTTAAAAACAGGATTTAAATTTGTTGCAAAAGAAATAAATAAAGGAAAAGTGTCACCAAAACGCTACCTTTGGTTTGCGGTTACTAAAAAATATTGGATTTAGGTGCAAATTAAAAAAAAAGTGAAAGGAGAATCTATTAAAAATTAAAAGGATTATTGTAATCAGTTTGTAAAAATAAGAATGCAGAAATTTATGTAGCAATGGAATAAATCAGCAGCTTCGCATTGCTATTTTCACTTTGTTTTCAAGAACAATAAACCCAAAGGACTCTTTTTTTGCAAATTAGCAACCTGAAGAATAATTTTTTTTTTTTCAAATAAAAAATTATCTTCTCCCGTGACACAATGTTTTAAATCTTAGTTCTTAAAAGTATTTTAAATGCTGCTTTTTAAACGTTTATTGAATTAAAAAGGATGATTGCAACAAAACAAAAATCACCTGAATAAATACCAGTTTGTTTCCTTGTGTGTGTCGCAGCATTTGTAGCCCTTGCAGGCATTGTGAGCAACAGCTGAAGCAGATTACTCAATTAATTCCATTTGACACGACAAACTTTTGTGTCGATGCGGACACACGAAATCGTAGAGCACCCGAGGGCTTTTAATTTTGCAAATGGTGAACACACGCATTTTCCTGCCGGTGGTGGAGCGAGCGAGAGTCCTTTATGTTGCCAGGCGACCCGAGGCGAGAGAGCGAAATTCGGTGTGCGCTGCATCTCCGCTTTGGATTTATGAATATAATTTCATCACGGCGCCATGAATATGAAAATAAATGACTTTGACTTTTTTCAGTCTGGTTTTTTTACGACGCCAGGGTAAATAACTCTGCTACACTAACACTGGGCCACACGCTGCGGAAATTGTTTGGCCCTTTTTGCGGCCGACAAAGAAAAAAGGAAGGACTTGGAGGCAAATAAAAGTCGCCTCCTCTTTATTCTCCTTCCCTTCTTATAAATTTAACCCGGCAGCGGACCGGACCACCGCAAACGGATAGAAAAGTGTGTGCAGGGGACAGCCAGGCGAAAAGAGATTTTGACAATCGACTGCTTTTCTCTCCATTGACAGGCGCTTTTGTGAGTGATATTATTTGGTGGCTCGGCGAATAAAACCGGCCAAATTTTGGCAGGACCCTCTAAGTGCGACGCCACAATGCACCTGTCTATCCGCGCTCCATTTTCTCCGGCGCAGGGACAAATATTTGCCAGGCTCCTGTGCAAAAAGGCTGGTCTCGTCAAAAGAACGCGTCACAACCACCAAACGTTGGAAAGGAAGTTTTAAAGGAAATCTATTGGACCATTGTGCTGGTGCTTTATATATGAAAAGGGTGCTAAAGATTATTTATTCAAGTGTCATTGTGTTAAAAGGTTTATTTTTTACATTAACTTCGTCTTGTGATTCTGTGCTGAATAAGTGGCAATTTCAGACGAGTACGCTACACAGATTTTTGGCATAAAAACTTTGTTCGGCTGGCTTTGGAGTATTAATGACCACTTTATTGATTATATAATTTTTCTTTGGAAAATGTGTGATAAATAGGGTTCAAAAATTTTTAATTATGTAGGTCCTATCAGCAATCAAAAATTACATTTTCATCAATTTTTATTGTAACAGAGTGTAAATTTATGACATATTAATTTATATTTGAGCTTACCATTAACTTATAACTTGTCTAATTTTTAATTTTTTCTATATTATTTCCTAAATTTAACAAAAATTTGATGTTTTAAGAAACAAAAAAATAATTATCTATTATTAAATTTAAATAAATTGTTAAAAATAAACATTAATAGAACAGAAATACAACAAACTTAATTGTAATATTCCAAACAAATTTAATATTATATTATCTATTATGTGCATATTTTTATCAATAATAAATTGATTCTATTTCATTATGATTGAGCTGCACGTTTTGGTGTAATCATTGTGTTAACTTATTGTGCTTCTGAAACAGCAATTTGAGGATATTCCTTCAAAATCAAATTCTCAGCGAAGTCACTTTTCTTCCTTAAATACATTTATGTACTTGAGCCGCTTCATTAGAGGGCGACTGACATGATCCTTTTTACCAAAAGCAAGCTCTTTTTTTCTTGGAAAGCAGAGACGCATAAAAAATAACAAAATATTATAAACAAGAAGTAAGAACAGCCTGCTATATTCGTCCTCTTTCGGCGACTCTACTTATTAGTGCGTGCGCGACCTCATTAAAATCTTCGGTTGCGCCAAAAATAATTGGAAAGGCGAGCTTTCAGAGATTTGCTGACGTTGACTTCTCAAAAAAAAAGTAAAAGTCGCACACAATTATCAATCATTTGGTGAAAAATTATTAACCAACATGAGATTTTCCCAATGAATAAAAGCATTATTTGCTGTAAAAACCTAATTTATAATTTAATTTGCAAACTTTTTTCTTTTTCCTCATTGAGCGTTTCAATCCTGTAGGGAAAGTTTTCATAATTCGCCGAATAATTAGAGCACCTTCTGAATTTTTGCTTGTTAATTTGGCAGGCAGGAGAACAGGGGGCACCTGCTGAACTTTTAACGATCAAACGCCAAGATTACACGCAGGGCAGGCAAAGGACCAATTAAGCAGAGGGTCCTGGGTGGAACAAGCGACCGCCCACTCGCCCGGCGGCTTAATTAATTACCCTTGTTTACAAGCAGGACTCGCGCAGGCTCTGATAATTATGATGTACTACTGGAGGTGCTCTCGGATGCCCACACACACCAAATCTAACCCGTTCTCTCTGTGAATAGATCCCATATCACAGCCGCCCGCCCGCCCGCCCGCTTTCCGTGTACCTATGTGTAATGGATTGCCGGGGCTCTTTTGTTTGCACATCCCGGCCGCAGTGTAAAACGTGTTGCTGCCCGGCCGGCGTCAGCACTATTTTCGATTGGAAAAGTAGATTGCTTAGTTAGACGGGCGCGCACAGCGGCACAGCATCGTGTGTGTGTTAATCGAATCGCGCATCAAAGTTGCGGCTGACAATTTGATTGATTTATCCGCGGCTGCTCGCTCGCTCTGCTTTTGTTCTTTCCGTTCGGTGACTATTGAAACTCACACGTCATCAGTCACCGCCGAATTCGATTCAGTCAATTCGCCACTAAGTAGGCTTAGCAGTAATTAAGAAAAGATGCGAGGTGAAAATACATTAGAGCCAAATTTATATATGTACTTGTTACATCAAATGTGAACTTATTGTTAGGTCAGGGGCTGATTGTCAATGAAATTAAGTTATAATTTAAAAATTTAGAGAACCTTTAAAGTTGAATAAGAAAAATTATTTTTGGTTGAGATCACAGCGGGACCTCTGTTCTCATCAGTATCATATTTTTAATAATCGATAATCGTACATTGGTGAAACAAGTCATTTTGATTTTAAATGCGTTAGTCTGTGTGAAACAAGTAAGACCTCTTGTTTCAGCATTATATTTTGAAATTTTTAGTTACTATTTTAATTGATGTGAAGGTTTCACCATCAGTGTCTTTATAAATAGATAACGCAATTTTTAGAGCTCTTTCAAAAATTAATTCCTGAAACTGCTTTACTCCTTACAACACAAACAAAGACATCACTATACACTAATTAGAACAGAAAAAACACACGCACACAAAATTAGAATAAAAAAGGTCCAACATAATAATTTCTTTAATCATAATAATGCATCATTATACTCCTATAACAGCCATGAAGCAAGTAATTTTTATCAACCATTCAATCATCTGTTCTGGTTTTCAACTGCTTAAAATATATTAATTTACAACATTTTTAATCAAAAGTTGTTGTGCATTTTTACATTAAAGAGTATTTTAAAAATAATATTAAAAAAATGTAAAATTGGATCAATTTAATTATAATTTTTTGTAGAGAAAATTCTAAAAAAATTTAAGCAAATAAATAAGGAATAAAAAGACACATTTAATTCAATTATAATGTAAATTTATTTGAAGAAATTTGCACTCAAAATGATGATCATGGAAAAGCCCAACATCTTCATTTCCATACAAAATGTAAATTATTATTTTTACCTATCTATGATCTATGTGTTAATTTTTGGTAGATATATAATTTAATTTTAAAAGCTTGCAGATAATGGTTTTCTCCATTTAGCATTTTATGGTATACACTCTTTGCAGATTGTTAATGTGCACGTGTTTTGCTGGTGCTTTTAGGTGATCAGCTACGACTCGCAGCGAGGCGGAGTGAGCGTCATCACCGAAAAAGGCGACGTGACAACCAGTTACCTTCTCATCCAACACGCCGAGCTGACAGACTCCGGAAAGTACTCGTGCAGTCCGTCAAACGCTGATGTTGCCAGTGTTCGAGTTCACGTGCTCAATGGTGAGGAAAAAACAATTACTTACCCCTGCCTGCCTCTCGCAAGGACCGTAAAAATCCCCGTCCGCCGTAATTTACGGCGTGACTGACAAAATTTTGAGAGACGCGCCTTTAAATTGCTGCAAATTGGAGCGGTTATCTTTCAACTTATTGGATATTGATTCGGAGAGGTGATAACTTTCCATCAAAATGACAGCGGAAATACGAGCAAATCAATAACTGGGGAAATTGCGCCGAAATTTATCACCGCACATTTTTCATTCCATAAATTTTTGAGCCAAATAAATCCTTTCGCGCGCGCAACGGAAACAAACAAAAGTTTGCGGTGCACGCGAAAGCTAACCAACCAAATTACGCACCGCAAAACAGCATATAATTCAAACATTCGCGATCGGTTGAGTGCAAAAATGGCGATAAATTCCTCCGGTGGAAGGACAGTGATAAATAGCCCTTTTTGCCCACTCGTCTCTCTTTTTCTTTCTCTCTCTCCTTTTTCAAAAGACACCCTGCTCGTGTTCTCTATTCTTTTGACGTTGCAAATAGTTGATTCCCTTTTCTATCTCTCTGTCTTTTTTTGCCATTATTGCCATTCTCTCGCCTGCGCCGCCATTTATTTCCAACATCCTCGCGTTATTTACAGCCGGCAGGTGAAACGGCAATAAAAAATGAAACGAATTTTAACCAGGCGGCGCGAGTGTATTGGCTGTGCGAATTTACATCTGGTTGATTAATGGCCGAGAAGGTGGTACGTGGTACCAAAAAGGTGGCGTGAAAATGTTTTTCGCTCAATCACGCCAATAAATTAATACAAAAAGTTGCTATTTATAGTTTTTAATTCTGATAAAATATATTAATAATTTTACCTGGATATTATTTTTTAGTTCTGCGTAGTATTTAAAGAGCAAAAATTAAACGAATGATGATCAATTTTTTAAACTCCTTGAAAATAATTATTTTATTAAGAAATTTTATTTAGCTCAATTTGAACTCCGCTATTGCCCAATTATTTTAAGCCAAACTTTTCATTGGTTCCCTTTCATAACTAAACATCAGCAAAAAAATGCAAAAAATCATAGAACTCATCAAGCATTGCCGAGTTTCATCTCTACAAAAAATAATTAATTAATTTCATCTTTAGTATTCTCATTGAAATTACCATAAAAAGACGATTTATAACCAGTTTCTATATCTATAACTATCAACGTTATTTGTGGTGAAATGAAACTTGCAATTAATGGAGTGTTCATATTATTTGTTGAATTGAAATTTAGCAGATTTGTTTTCTCAACAGTAAAAAATGTGCATCATTCATAAAATGTTGTGAAATTAATCTTATTGTTAGGCCTACCAGACGATTTTACAGTAAAATGGTTTACATAGAACTTATTGCTTATATGTACACCATATTTTTACCATTTCACTTTTAATAATTTAGGACATTAAAATTGATTAAAGAAAATTTTTGCAGCTTTCAAGATGTAAAAAAAAAAATTGCAAGAAATTGCTTCAAAATAAATTTTTCATTATTTTTATGAGATAAAAATCAATTTCTGACTTTCATTCAGCTTGAGGTTTTGGAGTCTAAATTTCAGTAGCTGGTCGATATTAGGCGTCTCTTTTCTGATGCAAATGGGGCTGATGGCGGTTGATAAAAGCGATCGAAAATAGTCACCCTATTTGCCAAGCCTTTATGAAAATGCAGATTGGACCGGCCGGGGCGGTGGCGGCGTTTTGTTCGCGCGTGTTTGTGGCATCCGCGCTTCTTTCCCTCTGATAAAAACACATGCACACACAATACAGCACAACGTGATTCCACCGCGCCTTTGTTATTTAACCGAGCGTTCCTCCATCCCAACTCGACCGTGGAATTAATTTCGGACTAAACACTAGAGTTTTGGGGTGGCGCAATCCGCCCGCGACTTGCAGTTTCCACATTGAAGAGTGCAAATTTATTTTGTGCGTTCACAACTTTTGAATTATAAAAATATTACACTATCACTATATTTGTTAAAATGTTTGATGCCTTATTGGATATTTCATTTTTTTAAGTCAATATTTAGACGTGCATTTTTAGTATTTATTTTTATAATGGCAATTTATTTATAAAAATAATTTAAAACAATTTTCACTTATATGTTTGCTTCTCAAGAGCACATGATTTGTAAAAAGGTTATGTAGTACTAAAAAAATACTTCTCTTATTATCTAATTTAAAGATTCTGAAAAGGAGGGTTAATAATTTTTTTTTTCAATTTCTAAAATATGAAAAGGCATAATATAAAGAGCATACAATTTTGATACAAATAGTAAATAATTTATTCATAATTGAGCAAAACGTTGATTATGTAATAATTCATATTTTTTATTTTAATTCTCAGGAGAGCGGCCAGCCGCAATGCAGACGGGCTCGGCGGGACTGTCTAACAGCTCGGTGAACGTGGTTGTGCTGATGGTGGTGTGCCTGGTGCACTCGCTCGTGTCCGAGTCGCTTTTGCTGAGCATCGCAGGTCGACGGCGGCTCTCGTTGACCAACAGGTAATCAACAACCGAGAGTGATAGCCAAGGACATGAGGACAATGCCAATCGCCCCACCGCGATTCTATTTTTTACCAAATAAGAAGACTTGATTGTTTCTACCAAAAGGAAGTGACGGGGGAATGAAAGGGAGTGAAATAAATTGAAATTCTTGCCCTGGCGACGGAGGGGCTTCATTTCAAAAGAAAGACATGTGCCATTTAAAAACGCAGTGTTTTGTTATATGGCTACGGAAATTATATGAAAAAAAAAACTGGAATTATTCATGTAAACTAAAAACTTCATCTCAAGACTATCTGTGTGTGCGAGAAGATTTATGTATAAAATTATTGAGGTAAATTATATGAATTTGTGCGAATGATTTTAGGCAGGAATATGTGCGTGAGTGATTCATGTGCGTGATCAAAATACTGTGACAGTTGTGCAAATAAAAAAAACACTAGTCAATCAATGTTGGGGAGAAAATTCGTTTTCCACAGAGAAAATGGGTTAAGTGAAACTTCACATTCTTGGAAATTTAGTTGTCGCCACTTAGAAATTTTGGCCACCAAATGGAGGGATTGTCAGTACATCAAATTCAAAAGAAACTTCATGTTAAAGCAATTATTGCTTAAATTAAGAATATGTTATCGCCAGAAAATTTGAAAATATTTTGTCATTTTATTGCTCAAGTCAAACTCTCCAGCTATCCCCATTTTGGTGTGCCACATAAAATTGCAAATCAGACAATTATTTTGTACCTGTTAAACTAACCTGAAGGTGTGTGGGTGCTGATCGAACTTTACGGACAAATAAAAAAAAATCATACAGAGTGACAAGAAGCAAGAATAAGTTCTCCGTTCCTTTCAACTTCAACAATATGAATTCACAAAGCGTGGAGGCGAGATTTCCTTCCGCCACCGGGTGAAACTTTGGAAAGCAAATTTGTGCCACTTGTATAAAAAAAACCAAATCCCACTTTTCGATGAGGACAAACGAGAAAAAATTACGCTGTCGTGTATAAAAAAGAAAGGGGAATAATATCTCTGTAGTTTTTAACTGTTGGCCCTCCTACCACCCCACTCTCCTTTCCATAACTTTTTTATAAACCTGGTGTCCATCTCTGACGAGGAAAAAGAAGAAGATCGACCGACCGACCGAGCGCAGTAACGACGCTGAAGAGAACAAAAAAAAAAAATACCAAGGGTTGAGAAAGAATGCTTGAAAAGTGTAATACCTTTATGTCGACGTTATACCAAGAAAAACTACTGTTCTGTTGTTCAAAGCTAACGCGTTTTATTATTGCCCCCGCCTATCCCCACTTGTTCTCCGGCAAAGTTCGCCGCAATTTCTGCAGATCCCCGCGCTGCAATTTCTTTTCCAGCGATAAAGTAAAACAGCGCAGGTTAGTTTTAAGACGAAGCGGCAGAGAGCAAAGCATTAGCAAGCACTTAGTCGAATGAAGCATTAATCTTGCAACTATGAGAAAATCCACCTCGAGTCAACTAATACTGATCTACACTTGGGCAGTGATAAACATTTATTATATTATTTTGTTCATCTCGGTCAATATTCAAGAATTATTCTATTAAATTGAATTTGGAGAAAAGAAGCCTGCGCGTGAAAGTTGTCTTGCAATCAGACTTGGAAAGGTGTTTCATATTTTTTTTTTTAAATTAATTTAGATATCCCTGGATGAAATAAGAAAATCTTATTGTAAAAAACATTAAGTATGACAGTTTGAAATTGAATGGAAATATATCTTTTGGCAATCATGTTTGTAAGAAAAAGGGCTTGCTTGCATGCAATTATGTTAAGAAGACAATAATTTTGCAAAATAACAAGAACTGCTGTCTGCCGTTCATTAAGGAAGAGCCCCTGCAGAACTTCATAGAGGCAACCTGCTGCACTTCGCAGTCGTGCAGGCTAACAGCATTTTACTTTTATTTTTGTATTTATATTTATAGTTTCTAGATTAATTTAATTTAATTTTTTTTAATTATTTAATATACAATAATAATAATTATTTTCTCCCATTATCTTATAATAATTTTAAATATTTTGTGATAAAAATTCAGTTTGATTAGATAAAAATTTTACAACAGTATAATTGTTTTGTGGTAATCAATTTAACAAAGTATTAGTGCAAGCGTTTTGTACCTCTCCGTATTTTATACTGGGTATATACACCACACCTAGTTGAACAAAAATTGTTTGTATTAAGTTCTTATTAGTTACAATGGTCAGAGTGGATTTAACATTATTTAAGCAAATTTAATAACATTACAATACACATATTTGCTTTGCCAATGACATTGTTAGTCCATAATTGTTTGAAATAATTTTAATTTATTTTATATAACACATTGGAGAATAATATTAGAATATTAGAAACAATCGATTATTCACTGCCCCATCGATCAAGCATCCCTTGAGCCGAGAAGAAGACGCTTTACCGCAGCACAAAAAGAAGCGCACGCGTGCAAGTGAAGTCGCGGTCAATTTATCAGTTTGTACAAGCAAAGAAACAAAAGCATCACGAGAGAGCGATTTAATGGTACTAACTCTCTCGATATCTCCACGGGGTTAAAGTAAAAAGCCGAATAGAAACTTCGAATAAGACCATTAAAGTGAGTTCGCTCTTTTTATTTTAGTTCGGATTGGTGAAAAAGTGAATTGCTTTCGACGTTTATTCGCAGTAGGGCGATGTTTGCATTGCGCGAGCAGAGAACAGAGTGAGTGAACAATGGCCGCGCGAATGTTGTTACTTTTTATTGGTCTGCCAGCAGTGTGTGGTTTCCACTTTGCGACACGCCGGATATTTGTATTTATTTTGATAGGCAAACGACACTCAAAACGCCAATCATCAATTTCATCAAAAGCTTCTGACACTTCAAATCAATTTAATTAAAGCCACGAATTTCACATTTCAAACAGATATATAAGGACTGAAAATTATGTGTTTATTTATTTGACAGATTTAAAATTTATTAATTCAAATAAATTGCTGGGAAGAATAAAACTTAAAATTCATAAAATAAGACTTACATTAATCTAAAATAAGAGGAAATTTTCAACGAATTAAAAAACAAACATTTTTGTGTGAAAAACGCAGGAAACGTCATTGTAAGTTTTACATATTTTGAATGAACCTGTTATAATTTGCAAAGACACATCATCAAAATAAATTTCAGAGCGAATTAACTCTCAATCAATTAAAAGACTATATTTTTACAATCCACTTTAGGAAGACGTTCAGGAAAAAGGAATGCAAATTTATCACCACTAGTTTTTATTTCAACATTCTTCTTTGGCAAACAACGAGTGAAATGCAGGTCATAAAATTGAAATAGAATTACGCCGCGGGAATAAATCTGGAGAAACGATTCGTCCCCTGCAGCGAAGCGAGCAATGAAAGAAGCTGGTCTTGTTGTCCCAACAAACAGCAGAATTGAAGAAGTGCATTGGGCTTGCAAACGGCTCGACGGCGGATCGCAGCGCGAACGAGCTGTAAAAAGTGGGAAACTCGCCAGAGCCTATTAAACAGCACCGTGGGGTGTCCCTGTCAAAAAGTGCCCTGGGGAACTGTAAACCAATAGGAATAGGATGTAAGGGCACTTTAGATTGATGGTTCGAGGCGTACGGGAAAAATATAAGGAGAAAATCGCGGGAAAGTTTTTTTTTTTTATTTATAAAAGAGAAGAAAAGAAATTGTGAATCACTTCAAATGCTCGAAGTTAGTTCTCGGATGTCATATTAAAACTTATGGGCTTCCCACCGCTTCAAGATCAAATTTTAATAATAAATCTAAATATATCTTTCATTAAAAACAAATATTGAACAATTTTTTATCTATATTATTGGTGATTTCAATTAATTTAAAGTCGAATTTTCCTCAATGGGTTTTGTGAGTATACCTGAAAAACCAATCTTCTCTTCACCACCGCCCCCGAGAAAGGTACGTTTCAATATTCTGACCAAAATTATTGCAACATAAATTTTGATTTTTTTAAATTTTTAATTCAACTGTCAAATTTTGTGTTAATAATTGTTGTTTGTAAAATGACGTTTGTGTCCGATGGTACATTTAATGAAATACCTAATTAATTTTGTTAATATATTTTATAAAATATTTTGTTTAAAAATTAACTCTCTTTAGTTTCTTTATTGTTATCTCTTCCCTTGTGCATATTCAGCAGGTGTTTCGCTTTTGGACGGGAGCTGCCTTAACTGCGGTCCACTGAGGGACGAAACCAACACACATAAATATTGCTTCGGGCAAAGTGTCAGCTTCATGCAAGTCAAAAAGGCCTGCTTGATGTGCCCTTTACTTTGCCTCTGCGCGCACACACAAAAAGCACAGAGGTTTCTTCCAAAGCCGGTCACAGACCCTTTTTGACCGGCCATTTTAATTAGACTTTGACACCCACGCAAAATCCCCCCATAGAGTGGTTTCATACAAGTCACACAGCATTACAATTGCAGATTTTTTAATATATATTTAAGAACCAATAATATAATTCAAATTTAAATTTGATCGATCGTCAGTAATGATTAAAATTAAGATTGATAAAAAAAAACTGAAATATTTTAGTTGAATTAAGTCACATTCAAACTTTTCTTTAAAAATCCTATAATATAATTTTCCGTTCTCTGCAGGTTATGGAGTGAAATTAAAAAGACGTATTATTAATAATGAAAAAAATGAGATCGTCGTCAGCAAACTTTATTCAGTTGGTGCAGGTATATTGACTTTTATAAAAAATTATGTTTTTACAAATAATAAGTTTTAATTTAAAATAAAAATAGTAAGTAGCTAAAAAAAATTAAAATCTCTTATATATGTCTAGAAAAATAACAGTAAAAATGTTTATAGCCCACGAATGGGATTAAATTTCAATCATGACATTTAATTATTCTTAATTAATTAATTCAAAGAAAGGATGAAAATCAAAAGGTATATGAAGGGAAGTGACCACATTCGACGAGCTGATCTCTGCGGTTGGACCTTCAGAGTGGCAGACGGCTTGTAATTGCATTAGATGATTAAAGCAAAGGACCGCGAATAATAACGTAGTCCTATGTGTATGTGTGCGACCCTTCTTCGATCCCCCCTTTCATCTCTGTGCTGTGGCACCGCGTGTTCATTTCAATTTCTAATGCTCTTTCCACCGCTCTCTTTACGTGAGAAAAGTCAATATTAGCTTTGGTGCGCAGAGGTCAGCAGATGGTCCGTCGCCGTACCTTGCCGGCAAATTTATTCTCGGCTGCGGTCAGCATCCGTTCGCTAGATGATCCGGAAATGTGCTCTGGAGACGTACGAACCGCTGCAGACCTGCCGTCGCCCACTCTGATCAGCACACACGTGACGATGCATGTTTTGATACCAAAAACTTCTGATAACTTTTTGAAAGGCAAATAGAAATCAGTTTTGTTCCAAATGTTTATAATTTTATTTCTATGTTAAAACCGATTTAAATTATAATTTTTTTATTATTAAAGTACCCAAAACGCTTACGCATCATAAGATTTACGCTTTGTGTAGACCGAAGGCGACTAAATATTTGAAAAGTGCTCATTAATCCATCAATTCAATATTTTCTTCTCTAAAATTGTAAGTTTTAACTTTTTTATGTATTGCATTAAACATCAATAATAATTGAAAACATTGATATGAGTTTAAAATAAATGAACATTTTAATTTTTTTTTTTAAATTTCAGTTCGCAATGTATTAAATTCAAATACAGCTAAAATTTTGTAACTCCCCCGTTCAAAGAGCAATTTAAAAGTTTTGAATTCCACGGCCTTTTTGGTCTCAAGTGTCACTTGCCGCGTGCCAACTTTTTATCTCAATATTAAATTACGATTTGCTTCGCAGGAGCAGCACCACTCGCGAGTTAGCAGAAAGTTTCGTGCGACTCTTTATCGTTCGTTTCGCTCTCACCAATTATTTAACCCCTTGCGATTTAATCAATAAAACTTTCGGGCCCGGCGGCCGATAAGAGAAATATAATAAAATAACCATTTTCTTTCTTTGCCGCGCGGATCTTGAGCTACTCCCGCTAATTCTTTCCATTGCGGCTGATCCCCGTGGGGAAGTTTTTCACTTGCGCCTCCGCCGCTCTTTTCATCTTCTTTATTATTGCGGAGCGCGGAAACAATGAGGTAATTTCCACAGCCAGCAGAATCACATAATAATAAATTTGGGGAAAGCTCTCACGGCGCAACCCCCGAAGAATTGGACGGCGTCGGGAAAATGGCCCTTTTCGCCTTTAATACCGCAGCTCTAGAGGATTTAATGAAATTATAACGCTCGTCTTCCCTTCTCAAACTGCCCGAGGAAATGCTGCGATGGCTGAAATAATTTTTATTGCGTTCCTCACAATCAGCGAAAACTGATTGCATGTTGCAGAGTGGAGCATCAAAAGCACGCGCTCTCCATCACTAAGCACGCCTTCCCCAACATTAGAAATGTTGAAGAGGAGAAGAATATAGAAATTAAATTTGATACATACTGTGAAAATGTAAGTTTTGTGTGCAAGCAGATTTTTTAAATATACTTTTAATGTTCTTTTAAACTATAAACAACTCAAAATTTATCAATTTTTAATCTCCTTGTTTATTTGTTATTATTTTAATGGAAGTAGGAAAAATTTCTGAAGCGAAAAACTTTATTTTGGTATAATGTTACATATATTTTAATTGCAATAAATTATTTTACAGTCTAGACACGGTTATATTACACAGTTTTAAAAATATACAAATCCAAGCGTCTGTAGGTAGCACAGTTGGAAAATGGTTCACTGACTTCATTGAGCATTTAAGTCTGCTTAAGTTAATTTGGTTTCACCTCTCAAGCACTAGATGTACGAGATTCCCTCTGCAACAAAAATGAAACAAAGTTGAAATTAAAACACGGTTTTATACAAGTGGAGGATATTTAAATAATATATTTATTGCTCTCTAATTATTTAAATAAATAAAAAAATAATTCAAAATAAAGGTATGCAACTTGCTGTACTTCCATGGAAAGCATGTTGCATCCTTTACTTTTTAAGGCAATTTTGTTTTCAATGGTGATGTAACTTTAAAAAAAAGAGTTTGCATAGTAAATTCTTTCTGGAATATTTATTTTACCGTGTCGCGAGTAGTCCTCTTCGTCGCTGCTGCTGCCGAGAAGGCTGGCGGGCGGCGGCGGCAGGGCGGTGAACTCGTTGGAGCCCGGCAGATAGTGATCGACTAGTGAAATTCTCGGCATCGGGGGCGGTGGCGGCGCCCCGTGCCCAAACGTGGAAGTGGTTGCCGGCGGCCCCGTGTACATGTCGATGGGGTACAGGGCCTCCGAGGTGGGCAACTCAAGGGCTGGCGAGTGCGCTTCCAACTCCTCGTGGTCCGCCCGCAAGTTGGCCAGCTCGGGCTCGGTGCTGTCGTCCTGAATGGACGCTTCGCTGCCGAGAACGTGCTCCACTCCAACCATATCGTCCACATCTAAAAGGGGTTGGAAGAAATTTCTGGTTAGTTTGATAGGGTTGCTAGATTTTGATGATTTATTTTTGTATGAAATAAATCTATTAATTTTGCAGATTTAATCCAATTTATATTGTGAATTAATTATTTTTCAATTATGATTGTGCTTTTTAGTGTGAATCATGCAAACAAAAATATCTGGTGAGACTTTTTTTTAATGAGTGTGTTTTTTTCATGCAATTTTAAAATTCCAAGTAAAAATGAAAAGCCAAACATGCAAATTAAAAAAAATAGATATGTAATTATAGCCAATATGACCAATGCTAAAGCGTTGTTGATAAGTGATTAATTTTATGATTTTAAATTTTTTTAGTGTGTTTTGTTACTTGTTATTATTATCATTTATTTTGCTCCTTTAAGTTTAAATTTTTGAAAGAGATAGATCACAGAAGAATTTGGGACTGATTACCAACGTGCTGAGAGGGAATGGGCCTCTTTTTGTCAGTAGAGAGATGCAAGATTCCTGTGGTGTCTTTCCAAATCTGTTGCATATATCAGAAAGACACATTAGAGAAATATGACTGATTTACAACGTTTCAACTATGAATCTACAAAACAAAATTCTCCAAAATTGAAAATAAAACGCGCAGACATTTTAATCATTGGCAAATTAATAAAACAAATAAAACTTATTTACAGAACACACAAATTGTTAGTGAGATGAAAAATTGGATGATTTAAAAAATAAAAATCTTACCTGGGAAAGCTTTGATCACCACGGATCGCGACGAGCTGTTAGGTGACGGATTCGAGTATTGCGGCACACCATACATGACAGGCTGCATGTTTTTGTGAGCCCTCATGGTGGCGTGCTGGATTTGCTGGATCTTCTTGTCCTTGCTGAGGCGCGAGTGCTGCGCCAGTTTGGGGATGAAAATCGTGATGAGAACCAGGGTGGCCACCACCAGGCCGGCCACTACTCCGGCCATGCAGTCCTTATGTAAGGCGGCCAAAGTCACGCTGTTGGCGGCTGCGGTCCACATTCCCGCTCCGAAGGCGAGGAAAATGCAGCAGACCAAAATGTTGCGGGCCTCAGGGTGTCTTCTGGCTTTGAAGGAGACCATGATGGTGAGCAAAATCAGGGTGGCCACGTAACTAAGGGAGCTGAGAATTTCCTTGCTTGAGGCGGCCATGCACGTCCAAGAACCGCCAAAGGAAGTCGGAGGAGCCGCTCCGGCTGGTACCAGGAGGATCCACCCTCCGCTTAAAAAGGCCTGCACCATGATAAGGGAGAAGGAGCAGCACAGGAGGCCGCAGGGTCGGGACAAAGGATCAATCTCAAGATCGGCCTTGGGGTTGTCCTGGTAGCGCCAAATGGTGACCACCTTGATGAGCATCCCGGAGAGAATGATGGCGTACGAAAGGGACGGCACAAGTCGGCGGAGGAAGCAGCCGATTTCAGAGGGGGCGATCAGGAAAGTCAGGTTGGAGAGGTAAAGGATGAGGACTCCGAAGAGGATCTGGTAACCCAAGACGGAGGTGCCGACCGCCTTTTCGGTGGCGCTGGCGAAGTAGACGACGAACGCCACTGCAACCAAGGCGCCTAAAATGCTGATAGACGCCGTCACCAGACCCCACATTTCTCGGAGTTCTCCGATGATGGCAGGTGGGTTGGGCACCTCGTCAATGACAGAGGTCAATTTACCTGAGCGGCCGATCCTGAAAGACTCGCACTCGTTGGTCGCATTCACGGCTTTTTTCCACTTTCGGGCCGTCACGCTCAGACCACCCTTTCTCTTCCACCCTCCAACCTTTTCAAATAACCTGCTGCCGTTCATGCGCCAGACGGCCAGATTGGGAGCCGTGGAGGACAAATGGGCCGTCAGGGTGGCTTGCACTTCTTCTCTGAAACCCTTTGAATCTTGACCGCACAGAGGAAGGCCCTTGTCTTGGGTGCAGAGGCGCTGGACTTCAGTTGAAAGAAGTTCAACGATTTTTATGATTTCAGACACGCCATAAGCTTGTTTCCACTTGGCGCCGTTGGCTGCTGCTTCCACGTACTCGGCGGCCCAGCTGGCTGGAATGTAGCCTGGGCTGGAGGTGACCGCACTGGTCACAAATTCTCGGAATCCGGGAACATTTTCAGTCGACAGATCTCGGCCAATGGCGAAAATTTCAGCCGAGCCGTTGTAAGAAATGGAATCGTCCCATCCAGAGGCGATCAAAATTCGGTTTCGTTTCTTCGATTCAGAAAGGACGTTGAGCATTTTTTGAGTCTCTTCTGCATTTTCAAATAAGAGAATAAAAGGAGTGTTTAAGTCCAGCTGGAAATCACGTCTCAGATCCTTTTGGTCGACGTTCAAATCGAGATCTTCGCCAACACACATAGTTTTAATGGTGGGGAAAATTTCAGATATGAGCATTTCAGCGGCAGTTTTTCCCCACAGGGAGCCCTCTTTTCGGATGATCGTCATTCTAGACCAGCCAAGTTCTTGGCCGATGGAAACGGCGGCGTGTAGACGAGCTTTCATGATGGCTTGTGAATCTTCAGTCCGGGTGAGGGGAATTGATTGTGACCCCAACATTAATTCAAGTCCTTCGTTAGGTTTGTTGTCAGCTAAAAGGGCAACAGCGACGGTTTTGGGGCTTGACACGATAAGTTCGCTTTCGGCCGTTTTTTCGGCCAGGTAGCCATAGGTCTGATAAATGGCCCTTGAAGGGTTGCTGCAGTCGTCGAAGTGGAGGCCACTGATTCCAGTGAAATTGGGGTTTGAGTTGACTTTTTCAATGGCGAAGGCCAAGGCAGCTGCTCTCTGGAAAGAGTCCATGCTTTTCAAAGGGCCGCAATTTGAAGACTGGTCAGGGGAGGCTGAGTGAATTGAGCTGAAGCTCAGAATGGTTACTTTGTTTCCAGGGGAAACCTGTGAAATATTTTAAAAAATTATAAGAAAATAATGAAAAGCAAAAATATAAATAAAAATTAATTTTGAACAAAACAATTTTGACATGAAAATAAAATAATATTATTTAAAATTCTTACCTCCATATAATCAGCCTTTTGATCTTTGACTCCACAATCAGCGCACTTGGAGCTGATTTCTGTGTAAGGCACCTCGGTCAGATCTTTAGCATAAGCTTTCATGGTGTTGCGGTTCAGCTGCAGGTCGCCACTCCTGGTGGTTATTCCAACAGGCACCAACCCAAAAACGTTGGTTCCAATACGGCGCACGTTCAGCACGTGAAGCGAAGCTCCCAAATTATCGCCCGCCACAGTGGAAAACGCGACTCCGCTCATACCAGCACCAACAAAGGCCATGTGGGGCATGACCTCAAACAGGCGGCTTCGCACAAGTTTGGCGTCCTGAATTGCCAGACATCTTGGCCCAACTTCTTCTGAAAAATATTTTTGAAAATAAGTCAAAACATGTTTCTTACAATAATTTAATAGTTTTTACATAATTAAAAGAAAAAAAATTAACAATAAGTCGGAGAATGAAAAATAAAATCACATCTTTATTAATTGTTTTTATTTATCAGATATTTTATATTATTTTTTTTTACTGTTTGATTATTTATCATTTTTATTATTAATTCATATTTTTATTATTAATTCATATTTTAGTTCTGCAAATTGCAAAAAAAATCAGAATTTTGATTTTAAAGTACATAATCTTGCTCTTTTCATGTTACGAGTATAATTATCTTATGTCTGTCAAAAAACTTGCATATCTCAGTGAATTCCTTAATGTGGTATTTCACAAAGGTTTTGTGAATTAAAAATATTAACTTTAGGAATTAATCTGTACTTTCACTCTTATCAATAATATATACATTCTATCATAATACAAGTTGCTATAAAAAAATCTTGTTTTTGAAGTTTCAAATAATATTTTAAATCTCACCTGAGCAGAGGTCACGTTCTACAGTATCCAGGGCATGAGAAACCGCTGTGACTGAATTTAGAATGGCAATCACAGCAGGGTCTTGCTCCATTTTAAAAGTGGGCAGCTCCAAATTGCCGTTGCAGTTTTGGCCAGAGCAGGAGAACACAGACGACCAGAATTCGCGGAACCATGGGTTTCTATCATTGTTTTCTTTCAACGAGCGGAAGTACTGCTCGAATTCCTGCACCCATCCCACTTTCGGCTGCAATACTAATGAGCCCATAGTTTGGTCACTGCAAAAGAGAATAATTTTTTGTTAACTTTTAACAATAAACAATAATCTAATTTTTTTAAGAAAAAAAATTGTTGGAAAAAAAGCGCACCACCATTATTAAAAATTAGGCACTTTCAAAATTAGTGAAACAACCCGATTTGCAGTGAGCCTTGGTATTAGAGATTTTTTTAACTAAATAATTATTTACCTGTATTTTTGGAAAATTTCCTCGTGCTTAATTCCAAGGAAAACCAGTTCTCCAGGCACAACTTCTCCCTCCTGGTGCAGAGATCGGGAAGCCATGAAGAGTTGCTCAAGTTGGCTTGGTGGCAAAAGAACCAAAACGGCTCGCACGCCACTGTCCCTGGCTACGTCTCTCACTTCCATGATGGTGTTCTTGAAAACTTCCACCACCAAGTTGTCCCTGATGTCCGGCAGAGTGACCGTGTTCATGATGGTTACCGACTGTTTCTTGGCCTCAAATTGCGCCAACTTCAGCATGGCCTCACTTTCTGAAGCGTCTTCGGTGGTAACGACGGAAATCGAATCCCAGCCGAGTTTCCTGATGAGCCTCATTACAGTTTGTATTCTCATTTTGAGGCCTGCGTTCAGCTGAAGAGGGTAGGGCGAGTGTTGTTTGTGGAAGGGCGCTTCTGAGCCAATGACTGGGATGCTGAAGGGTGCGGCCAAATTTGCGGTGCTCTCCGCAACCTGGGCGCCGTCGTTGGTGATCATGGTCACGATTCTCTCGGCCTGGACTTCGTCCTTTTGTTCGAGAAGAAGGGCCACGTCCCTGGAGGTGCGCATTCTGCTGCCGCAACTGTCCATGACGACGGCTGACAGGTGGACAGAGTTGTTGGCGTTGAATCGGTCCAAGGCCCACAAAAGGGCCTCCATGTTCTGCACGCCGCGCCGACTGATTGCGCCGCCGCACTCGAGAGGATTTGAAGCACTCTGGGCGTGCATGCCGAGGTTGACGCCAACATAAAAGTGGGGTTTGTTCTCAGGGTTGGAAGGGTGGGTCAGGACAAAGCGGCTGCTCGGCTTGCGGCAACTGCTGCAGTCCGAGGCGCATCTTGACGGGGAACCGTAGTTTTGCGACAAAAGTTGAAGGTTTTTTGTGTCTGCAGTGGACTGACTGATGGAAGCAACCTGAAAAGCACAAGGTATTTATTCAGTAAGTTTGCATTAATGTTTAATAATAAATCAAAATTACTTGAATAATTTTACTATTATTTACAGAAAAAAATTAACTACCTCAAAATTTTGATTGAATATGTTTAAAAATTGTTACATTCACTTCTTTTAATATCACAAGTTTGGAAAAAAATTTAAGGAATATGCAATATTTTGCTGAAAATAATTTTTTGGACAAAAAAGGAGAAATAATGAATGTATTTAAGATTTAAGAAAGAAAATATGAGAAATATAAATGTTTTGGACTTTTCAAGTGCGGATACAAAAAAAATCAGTAAAAAATATAGGGCACTTTAAAAGATAATCATAATTAATTTTGTGTTTGTAGTGACATTATTTTTCTTACATTTATTCAATATGTACAGCTTTGATGGTTCAAATTATACAGAAATGGGCGTTATATAAAATAAAATTTCCTATTTTCATTATTAAAAAAAAGTCTCCATAGCTGAATTTAATCTTGAAAGGATTTAGGAATAATTTAAAACATCAATTTAATTCTGTTAATTTCCTTATGTTATCCAATGTAACATTATTTCTGTCTTTTTTTAATTTACCTTTTCAAGCACAGCAGATTTATTTGCCGCTCCACCCTGCCTTTTTCTCAGCTGATGAATCTCGACAGGCACATCTCCGGCTCCACGGGCTGTGAATCTGAATTCATCTCCAGCTCCACCCGCGCTCTCCGAAGGCGTTGTGTGCAGGTACGAATTAACAGTTTGCTTCATATCCGGCCTGTGTAATAAATAAAATTTTCTTTGGTGAAAAAGTTGGCAGGTCTTTGAAGAATTTAGACGGATCTTTCTTTTTTGTGGCGTAATTATTCATGCGTAATTAGAGATTAATCAAAGAGAGCGACCAACCTGTTTCCACCTGGCGGGCACAGACCCGGCAGCCCGGCGGGAAGGTCAGGGCACAGCTCTCGTCGCGCTCGAGCGATCGACGCTCCGACTGCATAAACTGCTTGGATGATTCTGGCGTTGTCGGCGCTGCCTTGCAGCTGCAGGGTCCGCTGCTGCTGGTCACAAGCGGTATCATTGTCAGCACAAGCCCTCAATGCCTGAGTGAAAAAGAGATTTTGTTGTTTTTTTTTTTGGTAGAAAGCAATCCATTAGCTGTTTATTGGCACAAATAAAAAGTTACTTTGGTATATATCTCTGGCATTTAGCGGTGCTTTCTATACAATCGCTTGTATAAAAGTGATGGTGTGTTTCCTTTTTTTTTTATTGCGGAATCAAACAAAGGGGGTAAAACAAATAAAGTTTTATGAGTACTGAAACTCACTAAAGTTTGACAAAAAATCGATTAGCTTGCACAATACTAATCTGGAAAAGTAAGTTTAAAATGGAAAGAGAAAAGAATTACCTTGCTATAGTAAACTTCAAGCCATGGATTGTCTGTGGTCTTGGCTACATCCTCATCTCTGAGCAGTCGAAGATGCTGCTCAAATTCCTTGGCTTCATTTTGCATTGGGCTGAAAAAAATATCAAATTTTTCGATATCAAAGCTGTTTATTTGACGGTTGTGAATGAATCAAAATTCATATTTCCTCGGGTTTTATTGAAAAAAAAAAATATTTGTATTTATTTATGTATGTATTAGACTTGTTATAAATATAAGTTACAAGCGCAAAAAAACTAGAAAAAATTAATATAATAAGTAGTTTTTAAAAAAAAATTATTTATCCATTTTAATGAATATTTTTAAACATTAAAAAAAAAAAACATTTTTACCAATATTTATTATTTATTTTTTATGAATTTTATTTATAATTATACATAATGTATGTGTCTGTTAAAAGTTTTTAATTAATTAATGTTAATTAAAATTTAAATTTACCATATTTGGGAAAGTAATTTAATTTCAAATCAACCTTTACTACATCACGGCGGGTTGGGAATGTAAAAGAAATAATTTATCTCATATGTTTGCAAATAATTTAGTCACAATTCATAAATAATTAAAAAATGTGATACTTCTTGAATATAAAGAATAAGGAGCTCACCTGAAAATAAATGCTGATCCAGAAGTTTCCAAGATCGTTTTCTGCAATTCAGGATTGCTGTGCTCGTCGACAACCATCCAGAAAAGCTCATTTTCTTTCTTAGTCTCGCCCGATTTGCCAACTTCCTTGATGATCTTCATCGCATCCTCAGGTTTCACCCACAAAATCACACCTTTGGCGCCGTTTCTTCTCATCAAAACAAGTTTAGCCACCGTCTCAATAAAGTTTGACTCGCTTGTTAAAATCTCCTCCGTAGCAATGCAGACGGACGCCTCTCTCAGAATTTTCACTGCAGCCTCCGCACCTTTGTTGTCAGCCGACCTGACCACACTGACGTAATCCCATTCCAGTTCCTTCAGAGTCTCCTTCAAGGCAGATCCATAAATTTCAGCTGAAGGACGAATTTGCATTTCAAATGCATCGTGTCCGCTTTTGAATGCATCGGTGGAAATTGAGGTGATGTTCATTGCCCTGAAAACGGACGACGCCAGATGAGCCTCATTTTCATGCAGGGCGTTTACAGCAGCTAGAATCGGTTCGGCTCCTTCGCCCAGCAGGGTGGCCGGAAGGGCGAGGGCGCGACCTGAGCTGTGGCAAGCGTCGAGCAAAACAGCCCCTAATTTGATATTGACAGGGCTCAGATATTTTTCATTGACGCGTTTCAGGGCCCAGGTGAAGGCCTCGACCTGACGCGCCGATTTGACCTCCAGGGCGCCACACTCGCCCAGCAAGGGTGCACCTGGAAAGGGTGCCTGGTGAACGGAAAAGATGCCGGCGATATAGACATGTTGGGGTGAGGAAATCGTGTGGTGTGCAGGGGGGCGATTTGAGGGGTTCAGGGATCGGGGGGCCGTTCTGTCGCGGGTTCGGGCCTCGCGAAGACGAAGGCACCGAGGGCATTGGGTTGGGTCGTCGGGCTCGGAGCAGAAGTCGACCCTGTTGAAGGCGCTTCTGTGGCCGCGATCAGGGTTTGGAGCTTCAGGGCCACCGAAAGTGTATTCAAACAACTGTAAACAATTATATTTTGATGTTATTATAATTATTATATTGATTCTATAATTGAAGTTATTTAAAAATATATACAAGGTATTATTATTTAGTAAGATTTGCCTCATAGCATAAATGTTTTTTTTTTCAATCAACAGTTAATTAATTTGGAGAACCACTTACAGTTCAAAGAATTAATTTACATTAGAATCATTTAGTGTAAGGGAAATTTATTAAATATATTTTTATTTATAAAAAATATTAAACTTTAAAAACACTACCATTATTCAAATTTAATTATGCAGCTTTTTTTAAGAATAATAATGATAAAAAAAACATTTTCAACGTAAATAACAAACGGTAATATTAGATAAATTAAAAAAGTAATATTATTAAACCTTATAAAATCAAAGTTTTTTAGGTAAACCAAAAATTAAAATTTTTATTTTGTTACCTTTTAATTTCATTTTTTTATACATACTTTTCGTAATTTCCGTGCATCTTTTCCTCTCTGGTACTTCATCAAAGTCAAACTAGAAGCTGACATCTCACTAGGGTCACCTAATCTGGTCTTCGGCAGCCCAACCATCCTTCCTTGGGGCACCGAATAGTCCACTTCAACCGCAGCCAGGTGTCTGGCGTTGAACTGCTGCCTGTCAATTGACCTCAACTCGGGACAAACGCCAGGCTCTTGGCACGTTTCAGTCCAGGCAGATTTCAGGGCGTGCGCCAAAGTGTAGACCACGTGCAAGGCGGCGGCGGAGTTTCTTCCTCGAAGGGCCGCTCCTAAAGAGTCAGGGGCGTCCAACTCGATGTCATCTCCGCAGATAGGAAGGCCTTCCACCTTCGGACCGGTCCATCCACTCAGTCTGCAGCCCCGTTTCTGCATTTCAAAGAGCTGGACAAAATTTTCGCTGCTGGCCGTCGCGTTTTGGATTTGGCTTGCCCAGAATTTCTCAAACCGGGGCATTGTTGGTGGCGCCAAAGTCAGCGAGTAGAACTTTTCGGAGGTCAGTCCTTTCGACACGTCCTGCTCTGCCAGCAAGTCGGAGAATAGCCACTGAAGGTGGGGACTTTCGAGGTGGCGAACGGCGTCCAGAAGGGGCATGAAGTGTGTCCTCCTCGCCATGACCAACACTCCTGTGACGTTGCTGCCGCGAGCCGTGGCAGAGGCGGCAGCCGCGGCCGCCTGGACCGTCATCAGGGCGGAGGCGGCCGAGCGATGATCCAAGTCGTTGAGGCGTTCGGCGGCCACGACGCAGAGGTCACTGTCGGCGGCCAGACGGACGGCCGAGCGATACATGCGGGTGCCATAGTCGTCATCGCCGAAGATGAATGCCACTTGACGCCACTGCAGCTCTACAGCCATGGATATGAGGGCCTGAAATTGAAATTAATTAAGATGATAACTATTTAAAATTACTGAAAATTCTATCAAAACAAAATTGCTTTTTTTCAAATAAAATAAAATGAAAAATTATTTATTGAAATTAATGAATGTTTTCTAATTGGAAACTATCTAACTCATGTAAAGTAATGAAGTAAAACGATTTTTGGGAGAGAAATTAATTAAACAACACAATACAATCGTAAACTACTAAGAGAAAATTTTTAGGAACTATTTTATAAACATTGTAACAATATTAATAAAATAGTTCCTAACGATTTTCTCTTTTTGAGATTTTCTTGAAAAGTTAATATATTTCGTAAAAAATAATCCTGTAATAGCTATTATCGAAGAGTAATAATTGCAAGTTAACAATAGAGATTGGATTTGATTGAAAAATGAATCCAGTATGTTTTTAAAGGTTATTGATGGCCACTTTACTTAAAAAAAAAAAATAGCAAAGTAAATAAAAATAATCTGAACTAGAAATGCGTGTTTGTAGAAAATTCTTACCTTGGCGCGATCCTCAGCGGCCACAAGGGTGTCGGGTTGCAACACCAGGGCGGGCACATTGTTGTCGGCGAGAACAGCCCTGATGTCGGGGTCTCTGGTCGCACCAGCGCCGTCGACGAGACCAACAAAGAGAGGCGCCGCTGACGTTTCATTGCCGAGCTGCGGTTCAACCAGCGAACGTGAGCAGAAAGCAGGGCCGTCACGCAGCACAGGGAGCAACTCGGACAACGCGTAAGGAAGTGAGGCCGAGTGTCCACAAGTGTCCCACACTTGGAAACCTGCAGGAAAAAATAATGCAATTTCATTTTTTTTTTTCATACTAATGCCATAATAAACAAAAAATGTTCTAATTTTTTAAGGTCGGCGATGTTCTGCCAGTTTTAAAGTTAAAATCTGCTTTTCCTATGAACAATCTTTTCAAATGATCTGCTCAGCAGATTTAAAAAATTAAGTTTTTGAGTCGTTTATGCGTGTCTCAGTTGCTCAAATGAATGTTGTCGTTTATTAAATTAAATATATGTATACATACAATTATTATATTATTTATTATAATTGTATTTTTTTAATAATTTAAAGTTTTAAACAACGTTTAACATTATAAAGTTATTTAAATATAAAATATTATTTTAGTTCAATTATTGGTATATAATATTTATATTATACATATAAAAAATGTTTAAGATATTTTTCTGTAATTTAGAAAATGTATATTTTTCATATGTGTGTAGGTTGTTTAACTAAAAATAGATCGCTTCTTATTCTTACAAAAAATATCAATCTTGCAGTTACAGCTTATAATTGCTATGTTTCTTTGATCAGTTTCATTATATAATTATAGCCAAATTATAATAAAAGACAAAATATGTATCAATGGTATAAAATAAATTTAAATTTTCCTCAACAAGCAAAACAACAAAACATAATAAATATTAAAATTTAATCTGTCTGCCATTTTATTATTTAATATGACAATTAAAAGATACCATGATATTTACAAATTACGGGATTTTTTTTATTGAACAATTTTTTTCAACTTTGCTTTGAGACGTTATGGTTGCTTTCTTGAGCAAAATGCAATGGAATCTTGGACGATTCATTCCCTCTGCCGACCACTTAGCCGGCGGGTATTCTTTGAAAAGGAAGTTATGTGGCTCACAAGATGAGCCACAAAGCGTCCAGCCTCTGTGGCCGGCTGTGGGATCGTCTCTTTTTCTCCTCGGCTACAAATGCAAGGCTGGGTGGGGAAGCGGCGCAGAGAGCACACACACTTCATTGACCGAGATAAAAGCGGCTCATCACATGTGAACCAGCACTTATGTAGGCTAAACTAAAGTCTATGCGAGAGCAGCGCCTGAATTGCCTCTCTGCCATATTTTCAGATGCAAATGCGATGCACAATTCAGATTCGCTTCCCACGCTTTGATATAGAGAAGCTCCGAAAAACAAATCGGCTCTTCTCTTTAAGCCGTACAATAGGCTATTAATAAAATTTAATGAAATCGTCATCAAAATTCAAAGTGAGACAAGAAGTTCATTTGAATGGTCTCGCCACGGGTGAGATAATTGAGGATAATTACTTGTTTTAATTTTTAATTGTGGCACTCCCACGAATACGACGGAGGAATACATATTTATATCTCACTCTATAGTTCTGTCCTTTCCGCGTGGTCTAGTGAAATGACCCGGTTCTCACGCACGGAAATGCACAAATGCGCGTAACTAAATCTCTGACGATTGAGCATGAAATTTAGCAATGTTTAATTGCTCATTGAATAAAAGTTTCCCCAACAAAGAGGAATTGAATTCTTACCCAACTTGACTCCCGGGATGAAACTCTGCTCTCCTTCCGTCTCCTCCGCGTGATTCATCACTTGGCCGGCCCATTTTAAGGCTTCAAGAAGCTCCACACCGTCCTGGCTCGGCGCACCGCACCCGAGGAGTCCAGTTCCTTGCGACCTGATTGGCAGTACGACACCTGAAACACGTGGATGCAAATGATATAGCGTGATAAAACTTAGAAAATAGCAAGCGACCGACTTTCGGACTGGATCTAAACGTTTTACGATCACTAATTTTATCGCTTGGTTAGTTAAATGATTGTATCTGTTTCAAGTGTAGGCTCGTGCATTGATTATAACTAAAAAAAAAAATTCGTTCAATTTCTGGGTCTAAAGTCACATCGGACTGGCAGGACTGATTATACTAGTAAGAATTGAAGGAGTTAGAAATTTAATATGATGCGCACTTGTGCAATCAAGCATGTTGACATCATAATATAATTAAATTGTTCAGAATATTAAGATACTTTGATTAGTATTGTTGTTTGTTTTTCCAAATTGTAACATATCACATTGTTTACTTTGAAAATTTATTTTAATTTTATGAAAATTACAATAATAAAACTATTTTACATAAAAATTTAATATCATTTTATTTTAATATAATATTAATAATTCTGAAACAATGTGATTTAAAATTTTTATTTATTTTATCAATTATTTTTAATTTCAATAATTTAATTAAACCAATGTTAAGAAAATTTTCTTTCATAAATAATTTGAAAAAAAAACTAATTTTTTTCAATATATAAACACCAATTCTTTCATGTAGGCCCTTGAACAATAAATTAATATTAACATATAATGGGTTCTTCGCATAGAAGTTTCTGCTTAGACTAAGTGAATTCATTATTTAATGTAAAATTAAATTATAAAATTATCTTTTTACAAAAAATCATTTAATTAATATCACTTTTGATTTTGAGGCGAGGTAGATGGAACACATCTTAAAAAATGCTTTTTAATGACGCCCGCAGCTTGTAATCCGAAACAGGAAGCAAGTTATCAAGCCTTACATCCATCGTAACTTCACCTCAACTTAAGTAGGTACAAATTCTCCGACCGACACACTTCTCGAGATCTGCTCATTTATATTTTTTATCCTATTTCTCCGTGTGCGTAACACCGCTTCTTACACGTAATGAGAATTTATATTATTTGTACCGGATGGAATAATTCCTACTTTTTGATCTAATGCGATGCGAATTGACCGCCTGATTGTGAGGTTCGAATCACGCATCCTCCCGATGTTCATTATTTACTCCACAAACCTGGAAAGAAATTACGCAACAAATCACACGGCGGCGCGTAACAGAAATAAACAGTTAAATAATAGACCGGAGGAAAGAAATAAAAACAAACCACGGGCATTGTTTCGCGTCTGACGAATCGTGAGTTTTTGTTGTTTCTGATCTTCCGCCGCCGCCGGACTGCTTGTTTGACAGAACCAGAGGTACACAACGGACAGAAATAATGGAATACAAAAAAGGCGTGTGTGCTGAAAAATGTGGAGCAGACTGGGTCTGAAGGCCAAAACATGAAGAAGTAAACGAACAACCTGTTACCCACCAGGTACTTGGAGTACAGAGAGTGTGCAATTTTTATTTTTCGCTTGATCAGCGACGGGAACGAGAAGGCGAGGATTTTTCAGCAATTTTTTACAATTCTGAAAGGTAGCCTTGATATTAAATCATGGACGGATGATTCAGTGAACAGACTAGTCAAGCAAAAACTTTTTTTAAATCTTACTGATTTCTGACTGAATGACGAAAAATAACAATTTTGCACATTTTTATCAAAAATTAAAATTATGCAGTAAAGAGTATGGATGATCAGATTAATAAGTGACTTTTAACAAGGTAGAAAATAAGCATTTTTGATTGATAATTCGTTACATAATTAATTTGAAAACAAAATAAATTTTGAGATGTCCTCAATTTTATTTTAATTATGTAGAATTTTGACACACAAAAATAATTTCTCCTTTTTTATTATTTTTTATCGAACAAAAGAGGATTGACAGGGATTTTGTTTGATCTAGAAAAAAAAGTTTGCTACAGACAAAAGATGTTTTTAAATTCACGGAAGGAGAGTTTTGATGATGAATCTGGCCAAAATTAAATTCAAACCAATTCTCAGAAAGCATGAAGTCATTCAATGATTTTGCCAAGAGGAAAAATCGTGTCTACTAATAATTTTCCTCTTTTGATAGTTGGCAAAGCGTTTTTGTTAATTTAATGCATGAACCGTTCGTTATGCGCTTGTAATGGCCGTGGTCGCGTTGGAGTGCACAATTATACATCAACAGTCAAGACTTGTCCGGCGAAGACGAGCACGTGCTTTTAAATGAAATGATCAAGCCATTCAGTCACGGAGACACACAAGAGAGCTGCGTAACTGTTCTCTAGAAACGACACGGGGATGCGCTCATTGTGTCAGTAGTTACGCCAGCAATATGCGGGCAATGTGCTCTGGCACTTGCAAAGCTCACTTTTTCCATTGCAACATCATTTGGCCGAATAATAAATGTACAATCAATATTTGAAACAATTTATTTATTTATTTATTTATTATTATTTTTGAATGAAATGATTATCAACATGCATGAATCTCAAATTAAAATAATTATTTTATAGTATTTAGCGATTTAACTAATTAAAGGCATTCACATCTTCATTCTTGAAATTGTGACTTACATTTTGGAAGTTTTCATGATTTTAATAATAATAATAATAATAGTAATACAATTACAATTAAAAATAACTAAAATCTCTCGAATACAAAGTCATTGCTAAATAGGCATTGCCTTAAAGTTACATGATAGAAAATCTAATATAATATTAATTTAAATATTTTTTGTTTGCATAGCATAAAAATATGGTTATTTAAAAGATAAAATCTGTCAAAATTTTAAAATATTAGATAAAAATATGAATTCTTAAAAAAATATGTGTATGAAAATAAAATTTGATATTATAATTTTTATTACAATAAATTGTAAACTAGATTTTAATTTTGTTTTAATATTATTACAAAAAAGCATCAATGTAAAAATTTAAATTAAAACTCACCAATAAAGGCATCCGCATCTGGGTTCACGGTAATTTTTCTGCTTTCAGCCGCGCATTCTTCAGGCTGCAGTGCTCGGACGGCAGTGATCGCCAGAAGCAAAATTCCAGCCGTCCAAATTTTCAGTCTTTCGTGTCGTCTGAAACATTCGAGATGAGAATGATGTCATTATTTTCGACGCTAATTAACTTCCTAGAAAAGAAAGTCTATAAATTAGTCCTGACTTAGCCTTGACTCGTTCGTCGCGCGGTTGGCTCATTTTGATTTTCACCGCGTGATAACAGAGACGGAACAAAACGTGAACAATAAAAAAAGAAAAGAAAAACGAAATCTTTCCCACATGCTACGTTGGGTGAGTGAGTGACAGTGGTTTTGATTTTATCCGGACATCTCGGCGAGATCTCGGACTGATAAAAATAAATAAATAAATTGAATGGCGCATGAAAATCCCCGAGCATTGTTCTTTCTTTATTTCTTTCACCGTCAGCGATCGATGATTAAGCAGCTCAGTCAGTCATGTTGATTCATCTAATTAGTAGTCAAAGCAAATAATAAGACAAAAATGCACCGGGGCGCTCGACTTTCTACTGTTTGTGTGCTGCAACACTAAATGAATTGCTTGGACGATAATCATATCTCACGAGACCAGAATGGAGAAGTGAGTATTGCACTCCGCATTGTTTAGTTTCGGAACGACCGACTTTAAGGGTATCGTAAAACTGTAACGCAATGTTTCTTTATTGTACATTTCTAGGTAGTTAGATAAACAGTCTAGTTTGGTAACGCTTAATAAATTAAATTTGTTAAATGCCTGCAGTTAGAAAATATGGAATTTTGTTAAAAATATTTTTAAATGCCGGACAGTGATTTTATGAATGTCACAAATGACGAAAAGAATAATTATTAATTACATAATTTATACAAAATCAGACTACAAGGATTCACACAAAAAAAGATGTTTATCTCTTAAAATTAGCCAAGAATTTTTTTATTTGTGCTTCTTGATTGTTGGAATTAAATATATATTGTAATTAAAAATAGGAAAAAAAGTTAAGGATTAGAAACATAATTTATGGACTATGAAACTGTATAATGTTTTATGTTGTAACCGAATTTTTGAAAATGTGTTTTAATTATTATATTTTATTTATTACTATTCTTGTTCTTTATTTGCACTAATTGTTTAGAAAATGTATTTTAAGAAAACCAACAGTTGAAGGGAACAATAGAATTATTTGTTAAAACCGGTTAAAACCATCATTAGCAATAATTTAGCATCATGCAAGATAATTATAATATTGATAGAATATTTTTATTTCTTTTTGTATCTTCTTTTGTATCAATTCATAATTCATTACAGGTATGTTTATAGAGTTTAAAATTTAAAATAAAAACCGTTCCGTTAAAAAGTTTATTTTACTTTAATAGCGTTTTTATAATGATTTTCTTTGTTTTGTGTTGTTATGGCAATTGAAGTAAATTAATCAATTGTAAAACTTTCCACTGCTTTTACTCTTGATTGAGCTACTTGAGCTAATTTGAGGTGCAAGAAGACACAACGCACAATTAGCTTTTAATGATCACCACGCTGTGAAACACAAATTTGTTTAATTAAAGTTCTCATTCCTTGACTTTTTTGTGAGCGAGAGTGAGATGAACAAAATTAACTTGCTGCTACTTTCAGAACAAGTGCTCATTCAGCAGACACAATGGGTCCTGTCGCGCAGATATTTTTTACACCAAAAAGGAGCGGTGCAACAATGGTGCCTAGTGCATCTGTGGGAAAGAATCTTCTCTTTTTTCGTCTCGCTCGTTCTCCCCAAAAAGAGCAGCGCTTTCTTTCATCAGAGGTAATGGTCGTTAAACGCGCGATTGCAACTTTGCGATGCAAATGAACTAGGAAGCATTCAAGCTGCTCAAGCGCTGGCGTAATTTAATAAAAAAAAGTGCCCGACAGAGTGATTTATCGAGCGTTTTGTTCCAGCCAACCGAGCCTCCTACACCTTTCGCGAAAATAGCAAGAAAAAAATCGGGCTTGGAGAGTTTGTTCAGCAAAGGTGAGGAGAGAGCATTGAATCGCGCCGGGTCTTCTTTCCTGGCCACCCACGACATCACTGAAAGCTTTTTCGAGTGAATGAAAAAATATCACACAACAGGAGGAACTGAAGACCTACAGTTTCCGGATCCTTTTCATTCCATTCTGATTCAGTGATTTTATAAAAAAAAAAATCAATATTAGCACCAGATGGCCTAAGGTGGCAAATTTTTTTTGTAAAAATTCAATGATTTACTCATTCGATTTGCTCATTCAAATCTTTTGCATAATTTACACAATTTTGATTGATTTCGCCTGTCTAAAAAATAATTGGAACGTTTATAGGAACAATTTTAAAATTGTTTTTGGTTGAAAAATATTTTTAAGTATTAAATCAACTTGACTCTTTGGTTGTGGTAAAAAAGAAAATTAACAGCTTTCTCAGTTCCCACAATATGTACGCTGAAAATAATTCAGGATTAAAAAACGCAACTCTCTCTGCAGCAGCTCGAATTGCAAGACGTCGTGAATGTGCACGAGGAAAATCCTGAACCAACATTTACATTTTGAATAAACACACGCCTCTCAATAGCTCACCGCTCGCTGGAAGAGAAATTAAATGCGCGGCAGGAGTTATTAAACAAGCAAACAAGACCCACAACCGCGCGACGGCCGTTTTGTTAAATCAAACAGAAAATTCCAACTCTTTTATTTATTTTCCCTGAACGCGGCGATTTTCGAGTCAGTTTGGTAATTGGGGCGAATTTCTCCGTTCCTATACATGGAACGGCTTTGACTCACTTATATTGCGAAGAAATTATAAATTTGAAATTTTGATTGGGACGACCCGCACGCCGATTTTGCGGTTCTAAAGTGGAAGAGCGTGAGCACCAGACTGTGAAAACTTTCTTTCGTCCGCTTCTATTCTCCTGCCTGCGGCGCCTTTTACTTATTTTCAGCTTTACAAGGACCTAAGTTTGATTCACAGGATGAATGAGAAAGACGCTTCTAGATGAAGTAGAGACGTTCCCAGCATCCATTATAATAAGTTGTTCATCGTTTTCCTCATCTTGCAATTAAATGATTTAACTGGGAATGCATGCCGAAAATTCATGATTTGTAAAAAAGCAATTCTTTATTAAGTCAAAAAATTGATAATTTCTGTTTTGTTGACACGCATTGGAGAACATAAGTTCCTCTAGGAAATCTTTTACTAAATATGCAACGTCTTCTATCGGAAAAGATAAAATATTATTACGCTAAAAAATTATCTTAATGACAATGCGTAATAAAAATTTATTGTTTTCATGGCTAGAGACGAGTCACGAGTTAAAATTTTATTCCAACAAAAAATAGTGGATAAAAAAATATGATACCTCTTGACAATTCTTGAAGAAAAAATAAATTTCGTAATTATTTTATTTATTTTTAATTTTAATTTATTTATTTTAATTTGATATCGTAATGAAAATTCCTTTTAAATGTATTGAATTGTTCTAAACAAACTTTTTAATTTATCCATGTCCTATTTTACTATATCTCTCTACCCATATTCCTATCTCCTCAATCAATCGGCGTGTCGAATGAAAATGCATTATTATTTCGCATTAATAGACGCGCGAATGGATTCATCTTTGTGCGAGTAACGGGACCGGTGCTCGTCGCCGCGCGCCGAGAGGAAGCAGAAAAAATGAGTAGAACTCTCTTCGACCCGCTTTGCACCTTCTTCTTATACAACCTACCTTATTACTACACACATCCGATTTGGGGTCACTAAGCCACTTGCGTGCTTATTAAATGAGTTAGTTTCCTCTCCCACCGGCCTCCCATTCAGCTGCTCAGCCGCCGCGGAGAGAATTAATACTGAGGTGTATAAGTTTTGGGTATGTGAGATAATGCTGAGAAACGCTTTGCGTCACAACACGGGTGATAGAAAAGGGTAAGAAAGCGGCGCGAGAACGGATACATCATTTAATAAAGGTTCCTTTTTGCACCTTTTGATGCAATTGTTATCTTAAACTTGACGAGATTGTAATTTTAATTAAACCATGACTATGTTGTGTTGAAATTTAAAGATAAGACTAGTAAATTGCAGGCTCTTATTCCAATAATTTAATTCGTTATTTCATTAAATGATACATACGCAGTGCGTTACTATAAATTAATCACGATATTGGAAGTATCTGACAAAAAGTACTTGTAAGTTAATCAATCTTAAAATCACGTGCAATGGCAGAGGTGAGATCAAAATATTTATATAAATGAAAACCTTTTTGTTAGTATTTATCAGTAAATATTATTCTGCTTATACCCATCATTTAAATTTAAATTTAATTATTGAGTGTAAAAAATGTAATTGCTATAATAAATTATTTAAAATAAAAAATAAAATATCAAAATGCTGAATTTTTCAATTAAAAGTGATTATAAATATTGTGTAGCAAATAAAATTTATTTATTGTAAAATTGTTTCTCATAAATATTTAATCATAGTTTTATTTGCAAATCTCAAATTTCATCATCACGATTATGCAGAATTTTATGTATTTATTTTGAAGCTGGCAAAACTTAATTGTATGTAAATTTTTTCGCAGTCCCGACTTTTCAATGCTAATTCCCCATGCAAATGAAGCAGAACCGAATCCATGCAAAGGCACCTACATCTTTCTCCCACGCATCCGCATCCAGCAAAAAAGTAATGCTAATTGAAAAACACGGCTTTGTGCATGTGTATACGCAAGTAAGAGAATTATACCCTTTCAAAGAACACTATATAGCGTTTGTGCCACTTTCTTTCTCGCTCGCGAGCGAGAGAAGGTGCGCGCAGTAAAAGGTGAGAGAATTGGCGATGCGCGCGTTGGTGTCACTCAATCCGCGTTGCATGACTCACATCGGCAGATTTGGTTTCACCCACCGGGAGTACAGTATGTGTGCAAGCCACATTAAACTTGATTTCATTCTATCCGTGACATATTTCTTATAAATTGTAATCTTGCAAAACGCCTCCAAAGTAACTGCACATTTAGAAAATTATTATAATTGAAAATAATATGTACTCTGATTCAGAAAAATTTATTATTACTGTTGTTTATTTTTCCACATTGTTACAGTAAATTGTTTACATTCAACTCAATTCAACTGTTGAAAGAAAACGATTTACTAAAAAAAGGAAAAATGGACAAGACGGCACCACCACTATCAAGAATTTTGCTAAAGTTTCCAAGATCAAGAAGACCCCATTCGCCGCAGTGAGCTTTGGCTACCATTTTTTCCCTCGCAATTATTGATTAACAAATTAAAATTAATATATGGAATATATTCAATGCTTTAAAATATATTTACATTCATTAAGGTGCGTACGTATGTAAAAAAATTATGCTTGATTTTCGTAATCTATTTTGCATCGGTTAATTAATCTGAACATTAATAAATCCACTAGATCCATATTAAAATTCTGAATCTCGTAAACACAAAAATGGTAAATACATTTTTGCATTGATAACTGAACGTTAATTTCATCTTTTAAATTTAATATTAATATGAGCGAATTTACAAGAGAAATAAACTTAATGCAACATTAATCATTCTTCTTTGAATTAATATTGTTCACCCTCTTTTGTGTCAACAATCTATGATTTTGAAATATTATTATTTTCATTTATCACTTACAAACCAAGTATATAAACCAAGGCCGATGTACACCTGCCGTAAGGCGCAGTCATGACTCGCGCGCAGTCTGGCCTTTTAGAAATTTCAATGCGCCAGGTGACTTTATTACAGACCATTCCCCTATAGATATGTCTCTCTGCTTTTTTTTATGAAACTCTTGTGTTTGAAAGTGCAGTCGGCTGAGAAGTGAAATGAAATACTGCAGGAATAAAAATAAGACCGACCGTCAAAGTGACGTAAATTGATTCACTTCTCGACGTTTGAATGCCTTTTTGTTTGATTTTTACGCCTCTGAATGTATTATCCAGGGCTATCCCTTAGAATTTTAATAGCAGCCCGCAGGATTGTAAATGCCAGCCGCTGCTTGGCTTCAACATGTATGTAATAAGAAATGGTCGTTGAAATTAATCCAATAAATTTAAATTAAATTGAAATTTACAATCAGACTCAATAGAAAATCCTTCAGAATTAATAGAAATTTAAAAAAAGGGTGGAAATTTATTTTGTCTTCTTATTTTTAGCAAAGACCAAAAGATCCTTTTTCAATAGTCCTGTATAATTTAAAATTTACTGTCGGATCCAATTTATGAAGAAAATATTGATCATTTTGTCACAATGTAAATTAGGAATTCAAAATTGCATTGCATGGATAAAATCATTCAAAAACTAAAAGTAGCAAATAAGTAAAATGCATAACTGTGACAGTTATAATTAATCACTTCGTCAGAGGGGGTCATTGTGATATCAGAAGTATTAGCAAAATCTTTGCAGTAGTAGTGCCTTTTTGCCAAATATGGAATTTAAAATTTCCCACACGAAATCGATATTTTCTTTCAATTAAAAAATATGTATAACAATTTGGAAAAAATAAACCACAGTAACAAAAATAAAAACTCAAAGAACACGTTTTCATTCAGCCGGTAATATGATATTTTTTTGTTAAAATAAAAGTGGTACTCACATTAAATTCACCATTGTGACGTTAATTGGAAAATGCCAATTCAGCTGATGGTTAATCCATAACTCATGAGGTCCACAAGAAGCGCTTCGATCGAATCGTGAGTCACTTGCGTCTGTAAGCAAGGAACACACAGCTGCCGGCAAGTCTTTTTATATGTCAGGTGTGTTGGAAAGCGGCGGGCAGACAGGTCGGTGCTTTCCTCTCTTTCTCCAACAGCGGGCGATAGTCGACTGAGCGCCAGAGCAGGGTCGGCCCTGAGAGTTATCGCTGGAGAACGAGGCAGCGCCGTCTGCGGGAATCACCGCGTCTCTCTCCGCGTCACAGCTGAGACCTATTATGCACAGATACATTGGAGAGAGATGCAATGCATTCGGTCGTACTGCTCGCGTATGACCTCACGCGGTTGGCGGCTTGTGAAACAGATTGCAAGGCGCGGAATTTACCGGCAGCAGGATGTGATTTTCGTTTGCGTTCAAATTTTTTTTTCCACTTTTTTTGTCACAGACTTGAACTTTTGGGTCACCTATTTACTATTTAATGCATTCATTATTTCATTCAAATCGTAATGTTAGCCAGGAAATTAATTATAAATGGAAATGTCGTGTGATTTGATATAGTGCAACCCTTAGAAATTAGTTCGAATAGAAAGACTACATACATCAATATAATTTATATGAGCTTATTTTGTTATTTTTCAAATAATACTATGTATATGCTAAGCAAAATAAATCGATTTTATTATTTCATTAAAAACAATAAAAAAAATTTACGATAAAAATAAAAAAGTTATTAAACGCATAGTTAAAAATATACTAAACAAATTTTTTAATTAACAAGTTTTAAAATTAAAATGTTCCAATTAAAAATCTTGTATCGAAACAGTACACATTTATACGGACTAGAATGATATTTTTTCAAATCCACATCAGTTAAAAACCATCATTGATATGATTGATATTGATGCAAAATATATTATAAAAATTTACTTAAGCACTTTACTCAGGGAAATGGTATTTTATTTTTAGATTAATTTCAAATGGTTTCAAATCAAATAAGGCCAATGTATGTATTTATCACCAAGCATTCACTGCACAAAAATGTAATCTTCGAATTGAATATTACAGAATAAATGGATTTACTTATTGATCACAAAAGAGAGCATTATTATTTTTTTTTAAGTGCAGAATTTTAAAAGAACAATTAATTTTAGAATTGCAGGCACTCTTCAATCTCTATTTATATCCGTTTGTGAACGTAAATCAACTCAGCTGCAGCAACGCGTTCAAGAGAAACTTTCACTCTCTTCCTCAGAATTACGGCGATAGCGCCTGTGTGCGTCAATGAGTTGCGCCAGCAATTATTTTTACATCCTGGAACTGAGCGACCTTGCGATTCGGGGTTCCCCAGCTATGTTAAATGCCAGGTGAAATTTGATGGTCCTTAATGATGAAAATTTTTTGTCAAGTATCGGACAAGAGAACATGAATCACCGGACCAAATGCAAAAAAAAAAAAAATAAAAATAAAAAAATGTTTGGGGGTGCAAAACCACTTTCTCACTTTCAACACCCCCCAACAGATGGCATTCCAACCCCTATTTGCTCGAGGGTCGCAGAAATATCAATACACACGGTCGAGTGTGTTTTGTGCCACATCAACATGCACATAGAACATCTTATTTTCTTTTAATTTTTACTTAAAATTACTTCTCTTAGCACAAAAATGGAAGACAGCGGGATCGAGAGTGACCCCAAGCAGCCGACGACGACGTTTTTGAGTGGAAACTCTTTTGTTAAGGTGATTTCTTGCGAATTTGACTACTTTTCATAGATGTCTCACCAGCTCAACAAAATTTAGTTAAAATGTTTGAACAGACTTTTAATTCATTTCACGTTGTAGTTAACCGACAGTGACAGTTCTCCAGCAAGCAGCGGGGGCCAAGTGACCCCACGGAAGGCTACAGCTAGAGAATTAAGGAGGAAATTAGGTATAATTACACACAATTCTAATACATGTATAATTTTCTCATGCGTGAAAACTATACAGATTAAATTTAACATAACAAGTTTAGTATAGGAATATTAAAGAATTAAATAATTCGTGAGTTGAATACAAGAAATATTATAATTTTTATTTTTCCAGAAAGGAGAATAGAACAGGCACGTAAAAGTCATAAGGCCCAGGAGTACAAGAAGGGGCCCAGTTTGATCCCGATCCAGAGACTGCCCATTCCGAGCACAAAAATTATTTCAGCAAAGGAAAAAAGGGAGCAACAACCACTCGTCGAATGGGAATCTGATGATAGGTATTTAAACACACAAAAAATAATTCTATTTTTCAAGGCTGGGTGATATAAAAATAATAGTGCACATTTTTAAGAATATTGCAATCAAAAAATTGAGTCAATGGGACATTAATTTTGGGACCACAGAAATGCATTATTTCATTAGGAAAAAAGAATTACATAATATGTATAAATAAACGTGAATACAGAGATAAAATTGTGAAAAATTGCCAGTTTCTGATCAATCATGGACAATTGAATTTTTGTTAAACAAGTGCACATTTTTCAATGATAAAAGGTCATAAATTACTTTTAACATCTCAGAAACCCAATCCTTGCTGATTACATTCTTGATGATTTATTTTATTATTTAGAGTATTTTCCATATTTAATATTAAATTTTTTTTAAGTGATGACGACCTACCCGTGAACTTCTTCCCGTCCGCAAAGGACAAAGCCGCCAGACAAGAACTGACCGACACATTCAGCATCGAGGAAATGGAAATGTCTCCCGAGGAGGACGAGGACTTGAACCTGGAGCCGCCCAAGCAGGCCCTGAACAACTGGTGCTGCTTCCAAATGCCCACCATCGACTGGAAGTGTCACATCCTGTGAGCATTTTCTCAAAAATAGATCCGATAAACGAGTACCCACTTATTAATCTGCGCACACGAAAGCAAAAATATTCTCTAAAAAATTTACGTATCTGATGGAATAAACCTGAGGCTTGATCGCTTGAAACAAATGCAAAATATGAAAATCATCTTATCAAGAGCTTAGATAAATTTCTCTTCTAGTCATGAAAAAAATGGCATTCCAAAGCTTTGTGATCATATAAATGCGTTGGGCGCAAATACATATTACACATATTTACGAAAGCGAAAGATCATCCCATCTTTTCATATTATTTAAACTGTTAGTCATTAATTAATGTTGAGAAGTTGCTTTGTGATATAAATAAGTCAATCAATCCTGTGTGTCTAGTTTACAATTTTAATTCATGTGTAAAATATATACGTCCATGATAGAAAAAATTGCTGATAATTGTTTTAGGTCTTAAGACATGCCAATTTCTGAGTTATTTATTAACATTTTTATTTAAGAACAAGTTGAATAAAAAAAAACGTGTTTTGATTGTTCTGTTTTTAAAATTGTTGGTGCATAATATGACATTTTCATAATAAAATCAACCACAATGACAGTGATATAACAATGTTTTTAACTTAAATCATACTTATTATTTAGTTGAAGAATTTCTCTTGTAACCAGGCCATTAATACTCAATGAATCATTCATATTTAATTTTTTTTTTTTTAGGATTTACAGGAAAACGGTGTTCTAACAAATTATTATGGTACTCAATTTCATTTCGAAACAGCCAGTTACAAATAAAATATCATTGTCCAAAATTAACTCTGATTTCAGACACTTAAAATAGAAGCATGATCGTTAAAATTTAAGCATGTTATAAATCAAATAAATGAAGAGCACGAGAGGCTTCTATAACGCAGAGCGCTAGCAACACGCTCATCACGCGCGCCGCACAGGTTGCATAACTGGCCAGTGAAATGGAGATTCACAAATAGCACGGCCATACCATACTTTTATAAATAGCATTCAGTACTTTGGCAATTCAAAATAATCATCCTATTTATCATTTCAATTCTGGCGTGTAGATTTTAATGTCACAAAAAATTTTAACATCATATATTTTCAAATGACCCTAATAAAAACAAATCAAATTGAAACACAGTATGAAAAGCAAAACTTCAGTGTCAGCTATTTAACCATTTTCACCAAATTATTTTCAGTGTCACCAACATAGCCCCGTTTTTATTCAATAGCACCAATAAATAAAAAATTCCCTGTTTTTTTTTTTATTATGACATGAATTTTTGGAGAAAAAGAAATGAATTGAACATATAAATTTGGATAATTTATAATAATTATAATTATTTATCATTATTTGATTTATACCTCTCATTTAAAATTCATACTGTATATTTAAATTATTTTTTATTTTAATGTGTGTTTCAGCTTAAAATTTACTGTTAAAAATTTGAAATCAGGTTAAAAACGGTTGAATTTCCACCACCCAAGCCAAAAGCACGCGAGTCTCGCGTGTGCGGCTGCCGCGTGACCCCGGCAAGGTATGCAACAGCCGGCGCACGGGCGCGCGACGATTTGGCACGGGTCGGTCGGCCGGCCGGCCTTGGCACCCTGAGTGCTTCAGGTTGCGTCGGCGAGTGCGGTCGAGTGCGGAAGGGCGAGCGGGGGTGGATCGATTGGTTGGTGCCGGGGCGCGTTGGTGGCGCGAGAGTCAAGTCGGTGCTGAGTCGGCTGGCTGGCGGCTGAGGGAGTTGAGTGTCGCCGCAGAAAACACGGAGCTAGTGAGCAGGCTACAATAACTGCTGCGGGCGGCCGACGAGGCCCCGTTTTGGGACACATACAGCAATAACGACGCAATGGGCCGCCGAGAGGCCCTCGAGGCCCCCGTCACCAAGAACACGCGCCGCAACGGCTAAGAGTTTCCATGGACGCCCTGCGACCACGAGCAGCCACCATGTCCGTCCGCAGTCTGCACAGGAGAGTCTCAGGGTGAGTCAGATATTTTAATTATTTTTAAAGGTTTTAATCTAAAATTTCAGGAATTAATATTAAAAATGGTCCTACTTAAATATTTTTTAGACTTTTCAATGTTTAAAGAATATTAAATTTTTTATGGAAATAAAGGTTAGTTTATTCAAAAATTGAAAATTAAATTAATTTTTTTCGGATTTTTTTTGAAGAACCACTTTTTTTTGACGAGCTATCCATTGAAGAAACTCACGCGTGCTTGTGTTTTTGTTCTGGGGCGTGCGTGGGTCGGTGTGTTTGCCCGCCCCGTGCGGTTTTTGCCTTTCGTGCGCTCCGCTTTGTCGGCTAAATCGTTTTGTTTATTGTTCGCTTAATGCGAGATGATGCTTTTAATTCTACACGTAGATTGCGGTTTAATCGCGCCTGCTGCAACACACGATAAGTTGCTGATAATTTACTGCTTTTTATCATGAACTCGGTTTAGCTTCCCTGGGCTTAAAAGGGTCTTACTGAAAAAATATCGTTTCCGCAACGCTCGGCGTGTTTAATTGTGCCACCTGAAATGGGAATTACTTTAAATGTCCTAATTTCTCTCACAAACCTTCTTTTTAATTGCAATAATAAGAGATCCTTTGTTTGAACCTTTTTTTATTTTTTTTTTTAGTTGCAAAACTTGCAAAGGAAAATTTTGGACGAAGCAACTTTACTGCATGTTGTATAGAGTAAATAATTTTTTAGCCTACGGTTCTGAAATTTTATTTTTGATCAATCCACAAAATGTACTTTTACTAGTTTCCGAAAACTAATAAACATATATTAAATCAAATCATCTCTTTTGAAGATTTTGTTTCAATTAATGAAAATTTAATTTAAACACCAATTAAAAAAACTTCCACAATCTAAGAGGTTGAACATTAATTTATATTTAAATTGTGAAAGTCAACTTTGGAAAATTTTATGTATTTTTTATAACCCTATAATTGAGCGATCTTGGCCTAAATTCATTTAAAAGCTATAAATTTTGTTATATATTTCATCCCAAATGGACGAACAAATTTCTTTCCGGCTCGAAACATGTGCGGGTCGTATATATTTTTCCCTTCGAGCGCCGTCAAGCCTGGCCGGCAAGCTGCTGTTTTAAGTGGATTTATTTGTATTTGCCACTCGGCAGAGTTTTATTGGCGAGATGATGCTATTTTAGCCAGTTTTACCTCGGCTCCGGCTGCACATACAAATGGCATATATCGATTTGATGAACCTACCAACCGACCGACCCACATTCCTCTCTCGCTCCAGAGTAGCGGCGCACAGAGCGCCCATCCATCCCATTTCCATGAGCACCAGAGAGCCGAGCTAACAATGCCGAGAGAGACGTGACTTTTCAAATATTTACACTGGATCATCAGGCGCGCATTATTATTCCCGATTTCTTTCGACGAGCTACCGAAGGGACGTTCTTTCATTTTGGGCAACAAGAGGGAAGAATGGAGTTGAGCGCGTAGTGGTTGGAACCGCACCCGCGCTCTCAACCAATTTGGAATCCAGCCGCAGAAAAGCGGAACGAACGCCGAGGAAGTGATTGAATTCCTTTGCGACAGATATAAAATGCGAAACATTGATATCAAAAAGGGAGGGAAAAACGTTGAATATTTAGAATATATAGTATAAAAATATTTATATATAAGAAAAATGGATTTAATGGATCTTTGTTCGGCTTAACAATGTAGTTTGCTTTACAAAAGATTTTCAATAACCATAAAATTTACAATTAAATGAAAACTCTTACAATAAATTAAAATGCGAGAGGTTGCTGAAAAAATAACAAGAACTTAAAAATTCCAAATCCGCAAAAAGAATAAAATCAGGGAATGATGATTAATTAAAACTCAGAAATATATTAAAGTGTATAAATTAATATCAATTATTATCTCTCCTTTATGAAAAATGGTGGTTATTCAATTACCAGCCAGAGCCATTTTTTGTGTATAAAAAAATAATTAATTACCTTCGCATTCAAAGCCCTTTTAAGATCCAGATTAATTATCTTATTCTTTAAATTAAAAAACTAGCAAATTTATTCATTTATTTTACTTTGCAGTATATATACAATTTTTATAACATTTAGAAAGTATTCCTTTTTTAATTCACATCTCCACTTGAAGAGACAGCGTATAATATTATATTTTCACCCCGCTTCGTCACAAGTAGTGATTCTGATTCTCACCTATGGCTCGGCAGTAAAACTGTTACGAGTGTCAAGTGCCAATATTGCTCTTGGCTGCTTGGAGAGCTTCACATTTTCCCCGTTACCGACGTCTTCTTTCATCATCCTTTTTCAATCAGACTGAACTCAATTTTGAAACTTTAGGAAATACTTGAGTACATAAAATGAAAAAAAAAATGGAAATAATTGATTGACGTAATTGCCACCAATTGTTGTCAACGCCGTGGAAGGAAATTTCTCCATTGCCTGCGATTGCACGGGGTATTCACACATAGTGGAAAAGCACCTTTAAGTGACAACGGCAGCACCCGCTGGTGGCGGAAACTGACGGAAACGCGGCAGTCTCTCGCATTTGATCGAATTTTCCGTCGGTGAGAGAACCTCGGGGAGAACGACGGATATATATGCGCATATGATTATAAGTCACGGTGCTTTGGTCCACGTGGGCACGTGACGGGGCACAAAATGCAAGACTATTACGTGCTAATGACATTTAGCAGAAAACATGTGGCGGCGTGTCTCCTCCCGAGAGAGATTTCTGAGTCCATATATAATATGAACACACACATAGGGCCGTTTTATGGCCACTGTCGAGTGACAAGTTCACTGTGGCAAAAAAGCGAGGCATAGTCGGTGTGAGATATGAGCACGAATATAAAGAACAAGAGAAGAGAAGCCCCCCTTAGATGTGCAGAATCAATGTCGTGATTGCGGCGCTGCTGAAAAAAGAGCAGAGAAGCAGTTCATAAAAAATGTATGGAGACAAACCTGTGCAGAGCTGACGCCGTGACATTTTATCCTCACTTATTACTTTTCCTTTGAGTTTGGTTGACGGCACTTTTCTTTCTAATTTCCGTGCACGATTCTGATTGAAGAACCAGGCTTCTTTCTCGTCCAACAACCATCTTTTCTTGTTTAAAAAATTGAGTGAAAATTGTCACAAAAGGACTTTTTATTTGAACGAGATTTTATGGGGAAATAATTTTAATTTATTTGATATTATCGCTTATTTCATCAGGATTATACATAACCATTGTTTTTCTTAAACAATAAACGCCTCACAAAACCTTGCTTTACTGCGTTCTTTTTTAATCAGATTATCTTGATTTTTTAAAAGTGCAAGATAGAAATGAGAAATATATTCATCTTTATGAATAGAAAATTATTAGTGACAAAATGACTATAAAACAAACTATATTGAAAAGATGAATTGATATTTTTTCAGGAAAATAGTTAAATATGAATCCATGCGTAGCGCAAGTTTATTCTCTAAAGGTACGATTTCCATTCATCAGTAAAACAAGCGCACAGAATTCCAAATTACCGGCGCCTCCAGATATTACCCTTTGGCAACAAAGTTGGCGTTCGCCAGGCCTCATTTGCAAGTGCAGTTTCCAATTTTCCGCAGCAGCCACTCGAGCTCGCAACGGCCATTCTCTCCGCTGGCTGTCGATGTGGAACTTTCGCCTCTAATCAAAGTTGCTCTCGGGTGGCCAGCGGGGCGATAACTACAATAGTTCTGGCAAAACAATGCAATGGACTTGCCGCGCATATCTGCTATTCGGCGCTGACCGGACGGACGCAACACAACGTTGGTTCTCTTCCGAAGCCGCAGCCACCGCTGGCCGGGCTTTGCTTTCTCGACTTCCGCGCGCCTTGATTTATGAAGTCATTAGCAGAGGGCCCGTGCTGCACGCGCCTCCGTGATCATTATCATAATAAAACTGACGAATATGCATCTATTTGCATACACACATACGTCGAGTACGTATTATGTGTATGCATGGGCGCCGGCACTCGACCTCTCACCACTTACATATCTCTGAATATAAAATACGTACAAAGAGCAGTAGTGCAGCCGGATCTTTGCGCCGCCGGTCTAAATTTGGCAGCGGAATGACCACCTCAAAGGTCAACGCCATGCTTTCAAAAGTGGTTCATCATGGACTCAGAATCAGTAGCAAATGTGATGGGAAAATTGTGGCAAATAACTGAAGGGATGCAAAAAAATAAATATAATAATTTTCGCACCTATAAACTAAAAAAATCAAGGGATTGAGGTCTCATTGTAAGACATTAAAAGTAAAAAAAAAAGAATCTCTAAAAGTCATAAGACAATTAAAATCCTCAGCCAGGACAAAGAAATGTTCATAAAAATTAATTAATTTTATGATTTTGAAAGAAAATTCATCCATTTGATTTTTTTTAAATTACAACAAACAATAATTTGAAAAATAAATCATTCTTCCGTCAACAACTGGAACTCAGATTGCAACATAATAATAAATATTGAATTAAATTCTAAAAAAAAAAAAAAAAAAAAGGCAAATTTTTTATGCTGCTAATATTTCCGCAACGCTTTCCAAAATACATTTTTTTTCGCTGTATGTATTATATTTATTGGTAATTGGACCTGTTTTTTGAGCCTTGTGATTTCCGCTGAAGTGATAATATCAACACTCTTGACGTGGAAATTTCTGGGAATCGAGTGTCAAATGCCTCAGTCTCCTCTCATTTATATGACGCATAAAATGAAGTTCAAAGTTCAAGAGCGAGGAACTTCCAATTTATTATTTATGCTTGAGTACATAGCTGTTTTAATTTTGAGTTATTTTGTTGCAATTTGATAAAATCTTTATTTTTTTTTATCCTTAAAATAATATAAAATAATGATTGAAAATAAAATTAAACAAAATTTTTGTCTGAAGGTAATAATCTCCAAATTAAGAGACTTGATAGTTAAATTACATTAAAAAGTGACATTCCTTAATTAACACCCCTAAAACTGAAAAATTGT